GAAAAGCATGGCTTCTTTTTGGAAGGCTCCAAGATCTCTGATGCTGGTGGAGTGGTCAACTGTCTGCAATGATCTTGCAACACTGTATTATTTGTTTAATTAGCTGGATCTTACAGACCCAAGGAGCACCAACTAGCACTGGAATCCCTGAAGGTATGGAGTGCCTTGTCCATTTTCAGCCTGAAGAGGTCAGATCCTACAAACAATATCCTTAATGGCCATTTGGAGCTGCTTTGATATACCCAACTATTGTAACCAGGATGCTCTGTGATGGCTGTAGCCACCAATCAGAGGCATCTAGATCTACCTGAAGGGATGTCTTCACCACCAGTAGTCCATCTGTCATGATGTCTCTAAGCTCCATTCTATCCTCGTCGGATCTTCTTGAGAAAACGTGTTATCTTATCCCATATATGAAAATCATTCCACCAACAGAGCTTAGTATTTGGTGACACACATTTGGCAAGTTACAGAATAAGCTTTTCTGCCTAACAACATCAGCCTGTTTGTCCACCCTCCTCCTTTTACACACACAGCCTTTGGAGGTCCTATTTACATAAATTTCTCCTGTACTACATGGCCAACTAGAGCACATTGTGTAGGTAAGATCAGAAGTACTCAAAGCCCTTATGTGGGACGTGGTACCTCTTCTCTGCTGTATGTCAGGGGAAAGAGAGGCTAGAGTGAGTCTCAGATATTTTGCTGGTTTGAGGACCTCTTCACAGATGGGCACTGCCACCCTGCCTCTGTTGAAAAGTTTGTGCCTTCTGTGCCAATGGCAGTCTATATTTAACATGTAAGCTGTTCTCCTCAGCAAGTCTTGGAATGCTCTAAAGTAATCACACAGAGAGACGGGATTGTACTGTAACTGCTTCATCTGGTGATGATGGGCAAGTAGACCAGTTGCAAGTTCCAGGTTATCAGTGCATTTATCTCGGGGATCCTCAACATTTTCCTCCACCTCCTGCATTTCAACACCTCTAGCTAGTTTTGACTTGACTGGAAAAGAGACCTATGAGGGGAGTTGCCTCTGGGAGGTTGAGCAGGGAGAATCCACATTGTCCAGTACAGTCCATGTATTCCATAAGGATACAGCTAAGGAGGTGCAGGAACAAAGAGAGAGGAGTAAGGTCACAAAGGAGACATTGTGTGCATCTGAGGTACTCAGATTTATTTTAGAGGAGGACCCCCAATGTGACCCTTGGATCAATCCCCGATAATGACAAAGAAAATACAGAACCCTTCTGTTCCAGAGAAGGTTGAGGGGGTCAGGGTTCTGGGGAGGGCTGAAAACTTGGCTCTGAGAAGGAAGAGAAGTATATTGGATCAAAAAGGGTACTGATCTCCTACGTGCCAGGGTATCTGGCAGACATTGGAACAATGGTGTAGTATCGTACTGGGGAGGCAACTGGTGTTAAGGAGGTGTTTCAGTACCTTTCCATCAGAACCACACCAAGTCCAACACAAGGGACTCCAAACTTGGTGTCACCAGAATATCCCCTTATACTATCATTAGTACCAACATCAATGCTGATAACCATGCTAGTATCGATGATGTGGACACCAGCTCAAGGCTCCAATACATCTCAGGGATTGCTGCCAAGGTCAACTGAGCTGTCCAGTCTGAAGAGGACCAATACACTGAACAACAACCGGGGTTGTGGATTTTCCCCAGACAGAACACACATCAGGTTTGGCTGTCATGGACATGACATCATCACATGCTAGCTGGGCTCGAAGCCTGAGGCTTTTGATTCCTGTTGAGGAGTGAAAGGTACCTCAGCACTGACTGGCTGGTAATGATCAAAAAAGGAAAAAAGGCTGCTACTTGTTACTGAAACTTACTAAGAAACTGGGTTAAGAACTAGAGGAGAATTTAAATTTGCTTTGTGAGGTCAAGGAGCTAGAGAGAGCAGAACATATAGCACTAAGTTTCCACTTACTGCCTTGGGTAAGAGATCTCACAAGACTGGGTGACAAAATGGCAGCCGAAATTTAATGTTGATAAATGCAAAGTAATGCACATTGGAAAACATAATCTCAACTATACATATAACATGATGGGGTCTAAAGTAGCTGTTACCACTCAAGAAAAAAATCTTGGAGTCGTGGGTAATTCTCTCAAAACATCCAATCAATGTGCAGCGGCAGTCAAAAAAAGCTAACAATGTTGGGAATCATTAGGAAAGGGATAGATAATAAGATATTAAATATAATATTGCCTCTATATAAATCCATGGTACACCCACATCTTGAACGCTGCATACAGATGTGGTCACCCCATTTCAAAAAAGATATATTAGAATTGGAAAAGGTTCAGAAAAGGGCAACAAAAATGATTAAGGGTATGCAACAGCTTCCATATGAGGAGAGATTAATAAAACCAGGAGTTTTCAGCTTGGAAAAAATCTACTAAGGAGGGATATGATAAAGGTCAATAAATCAGGACTGGTGTGGAGAAAGTAAATAAAGAAGTGTTATTTACTCCTTCTCATAACAAAGAACGAGGGGTCACCAAACAAAATTAATAGGCAGCAGGTTTAACAAACAAAAGGAAGTATTTCTTCACACACCAAACAGTCAACCCGTGGAACTCCTTGCCAGAGGATGTTGTGAAGGCCAAGACTATAACAAGGTTCAAAAAAGAACTAGATAAGTTCATGGAGGATAGGTCCATCAATGACTATTAGCCAGGATGGGCAGGGATGATGTCCCTAGCCTTTCTTTGTGATAAGCTGGGAATGGGCGACAGGGGATGGATCACTGTTCTCTTCATTCCCGCTGAAGCATCCGGCATTAGCCACTGTCGGAAGACAGGTTAATGGGCTAGATGGACCTTTGGTCTGCCCCAGTATGGCTGTTCTTATGTAACAAGAAACCAACAAGCATTTGGGGCTACGCTGCCTTTATGCCATCAGACACAAAAACATAAAGGTACAGACACTGTTGACTCAAAAGGTTCCAAACCCACATGTGTATTGTGAGTGGGATCCATAGAGATGATTCTCAAAGAAGCAGCTTAGATTCTGCAGAAGCTATGGCAGTGTTTCCCTCCTCTACCAAATCAGGAGAACTTCCTAGTCACCAGTGACAAACCAACATGCCTCACTCAGGGGTTTAGCACACTTTCCATGACTAGCATTGAAAACAGTTTTACAATATCTACAGTTAGTTTTATTATTAATTAGTATTTGTATTACAGAGGCCTCCAGGCCTCAACCATGATTAGCACACCTTTGAGATAGGTGGTTGGTTTCCAATTCCTGTTGAGGGTCTGAAAGGGATCACTGGACCTGTGCTTTAATCAACTACAAGCAATGCTCCTGTTAATACAGTCTATATAGTTTATCCTGTCAAATTTAAACTATGAAGAAACATAATTTAAGTTCTGTGAAGACAAGGCTCAATATTATTTAGCTGCCATGGTCTTAGACATTAGGTGGAGAAGACAGAGAAACAGATCAACACCCTTAATTGGAGATACAGAAATAGTGCCAAGTGCTTCTAAAAAGTAAGTTGCTAGTAAGATACTATGTACTTATAACACACACTTCCTTTAACCTTACATCAGATATTTTTCTTTGCAGCGATTCCTTTATGTATGAAAAATACAGTGCACCCTCTCCAAATTTACAGCATTGTGTGTACAGAATGAATTTTCAGAAAATTTATAAGTGTTTAAGTTCAAATTAAGTAAAACTGGGTCCCTTTAAGAAGTTTAGCATGGGTCAATCTTTTGTCTGACTTATCAAAATAATGGAGTAACAAGCTACAAAATTTCTGTATAGAAAATTAAAATCTTGTGCACAGGCTATAAAAACATAAGAATCACCATACTGGGTCGGACCAACCGTCCATCTAGCTCAGTATCCTGTCTTCTGACAGTGGCCAATGCCAGGTGCTTCAGCGGGAATGAACAGAACAGGTCACCATCAAGTGATCCATCCCCTGTCGCCCATTCCCACCTTCTGGCAAACAGGCTAGGACACCATCCCTGCCCATCCTGGCTAACAGTCATTGATGGACCTATCCTGCTACATGAATGTATCTAGTTCTGTATTTGAAGCACTTAAATTTAATTAAGCTAAATCATTAACAATAATACATAGTTGCTAGAGTTATACAGACTACTAATCCAGGCCACAGCTCAGATAAATCTTAAATGGGGCTACCGGGATGCAAGAGGTAACTCAACCAACCAAACCACAACCCATTCTCTAGCTCGTGGACATGCACGAAGACGACGGGCTGTAATAACTCAGGGGCAGGAAGGGGGCTGGACACCGGTTTAGGACGGTCACTGGTAAATGACTTGGCCCATCACTGCTTTCCCGTCGCCACCTGCCTGCCCTGAAAGGTTCCTCATAGCCCGGCTGCCTTGGCTCCCCTGCGCGCGGAGACACGAACACAGAGACGCTGGGATTCAGAGAGGGGGCGAGCCAAGCCCCCGCACAAAGCATCCGAAATGTACGGCTGGGGCACCCACGGAGGCTGTTTGACACCACCCCCAGGCAAACCCCACCGCCGGGCACAGGGGTCAGCTGGCAGCCAGGCCTCCAGCGACCCCCGCCCCCGCGGATCGAGCACGGGGCTCAGGGGCGGGGACCGGGCCCGCTCCCCGCCGGACTCGGCCCAAGGAGCCCGGCGGGCCCGGGAAGAGCGGAGCCCAGCGCGAGCACCCGGGGCGGCCCCACCCCGGACCCGCCGCCGCGCCGGGCCCAGGCGGACTCACCTTCTCGCAGAGGCTCCGCACCTGGCTCTCGCTCAGCTGCTTGCACTCGTTGAGCTGCTCGATCCACTGGTCCAGCTCCTTGGAGAAGCCCTTCTCCTCCATGGCGGGAGCGGGGCTCAGCGCCGCGCGGCCCGGTCCCGCCAACGGCCACGGGGCAACGGTGGCTGCGCGAGGCCCGCTCCGCTCCCGGCCCTCCCCCGCGCCGCGGAATGGCGATGGCGGCCGCCGGACGCTGCGCCCCCGTGGCCCCGCCCCTCCCCCGTGCCGCCACTTCCGGCCCCACCCGCCGCACTGGAGGCGCGTGCGTGAGGGGGCGCGAGCCGGAGCGAGCGCGGCTCCGAACCGCCGCTTGGAGAGTCCCTGGCTCCCCCGGGGCTCACGTCGCCCAGAGAGAGGCCGCGGCTGGCGCGGGAGCTGGAGCAGGGTACATCCGGGGCGGGTACGGGTATGGGTGAGGGGGGGTTTTCGGGGGGGGGGGGGGGGGGTTGTGTGTGGGAGGAGTTTTGGGGGGTTGTGTCTGGGTGGGTATGGGGGGGTCTGTGCGGGGAGGGGCTGGGGGTTGGGAGGGGGGTCTGTGTACTGGGAGAGGGTATTGGGGGGTCTGTACGGGGAGGGGACATTGGGGGTAGGGGAGGGGGTCTGTGTACTGGGAGAGGGCATTGGGGGGTCTGTGGGGTGGGCATTGGGGGGTATGGGAGGGGGTCTGTGTACTGGGAGAGGGTATTGGGGGTCTGTGTACTGGGGTGGGCTTGGGGGTTTGGGGGGGGTGGCGGAGGGTTGGGGGGGGGGTGGTTGGGAGGGGTTTGGGGGGTTGTTGGGGTGGGTTGGGGGTTGGGGGGGGGGGGGGGCTGGAGGGGTATGGGGGTCTGTGCTGGGAGGGGTTTTGGGGGTCTGTGTACTGGGGGTGGGCATTGGGGGGTCTGGGGGGGGGTCTGGTGGGAGAGGGTTTGGGGGAGGGGGCATTGGGGTAGGGGGGGGGGGGTATGGGAGGGGGTCTGTGTACTGGGAGAGGGCATTGGGGGGTCTGTTGGGTTGGGCATTGGGGGGTATGGGGGGGGTGGGGGGGGGGGGGGGAGGCTGGGGTGGGATTGGGGGTATGGGAGGGGGTCTGTGTACTGGGAGAGGGGGTATTGGGGGTCTTGTACTGGGGTGGGCATTGGGGGGTTTGGGAGGGGGGTCTGTGTACTGGGGAGAGGGTGGGATTGGGGGGGTTGGGGGGTTGGGTTGGGGGTGTTGGGGGGGGGTCTGTGTACTGGCAGAGGGTATTGGGGGTCTGTGTACTGGGGTGGGCATTGGGGGTTTGGGAGGGGGTCTGTGTACTGGGAGAGGGTATTGGGGGTCTGTACTGGGGTGGGCATTGGGGGTGGGGGGGGGGGGGGGGGGGGGGGTGGGTTGGGGGTTTGGGGGGGGTTGTGTGGGGTTTGGGGGTGAGGGGTGGGAGGGTGGGAGGGGGGTCTGTGTACTGGGAGAGGGTATTGGGGGGTCTGTACTGGGGTGGGCATTGGGGGTATGGGAGGGGGTCTGTGTACTGGGAGGGTGGGGGGGGTGGGGGCTGGGAGGGCGTACTGGGAGGGGGCATTGGGGGGTCTGGGGGTACTGTGTACTGGGAGAGGGTATTGGGGGGTCTGTACTGGGGTGGGATTGGGGGTATGGGGATGGGGGGGGTGGGTAGGGGTGGGCATTGGGGGTATGGGAGGGGGTCTGCGTACTGGGAGAGGGTATTGGGGGGTCTGTACTGGGGTGGTCATTGGGGGTATGGGAGGGGGTCTGTGTACTGGGAGAGAGTATTGGGGGTCTGTACTGGGGTGGGCATTGGGGGTTTGGGAGGGGGTCTGTGTACTGAGAGAGGGTATTGGGTCTGTACTGGGGTGGGCATTGGGGGTATGGGAGGGGGTCTGCATACTGGGAGGGGGCCATGGGGGGTCTGCGCACTGGGAGGGGGCATTGGGGGGTCTGTACTGGGGTGGGCATTGGGGGTATGGGAGGGGGTCTGCGTACTGGGAGAGGGTATTGGGGGGTCTGTACTGGGGTGGGCATTGGGGGGTATGGGAGGGGGGTCTGTGTACTGGGGTGGGCATTGGGGGTTTGGGAGGGGGTCTGTGTACTGAGAGAGGGTATTGGGGGGTCTGTGTACTGGGAGGGGGTATTGGGGGTATGGGAGGGGGTCTGTGTACTGGGAGGGGTTCCTGGGGGGTGCTGGAGTGGGTACCTGTGGCCTCATTCTCAAGGGGCGAGGGTAGTGTTGCTCCTCAGGATGGTGGCAGGGTGGCTGGTGCAGGCCTAAGACACAGTGGCAGCCAACTGTCAGTCACGCCTCCCTGCCTCTTCCTCTCCCCAGGGCTGGGAGCTGGGGCTTGTTGGGTGGGATCTGGTAGCTGTGGCTGCAGTGGAGGGACCCATCAGGGTGTGGAACCAGCTGTTTCTGAGCTGCAGCATCTGCTCCTGTCATAAATATAAAGGGAAGGGTAAACCCCTTTGAAATCCCTCCTGGCCAGGGGAAAGCTCCTCTCACCTGTAAAGGGTTAAGAAGCTAAAGGTAACCTCGCTGGCACCTGACCAAAATGACCAATGAGGAGACAAGATACTTTCAAAAGCTGGGAGGAGGGAGAGAAACAAAGGGTCTGTGTCTGTCTGTAGTCGTCTTGGCCAGGGACAGAACAGGAATGGAGGCTTAGAACTTTTAGTAAGTAATCTGGCTAGGTATGTGTTAGATTATGATTTCTTTAAATGGCTGAGAAAAGAATTGTGCTGAATAGAATAACTATTTCTGTCTGTGTATCTTTTTTGTAACTTAAGGTTTTGCCTAGAGGGGTTCTCTATGTTTTTGAATCTAATTACCCTGTAAGATATCTACCATCCTGATTTTACAGGGGGGATTTCTTTATTTCTATTTACTGCTATTTTTTATTAAAAGTCTTCTTGTAAAACACTGAATGCTTTTTCATTGTTCTCAGATCCAAGGGTTTGGGTCTGTGGTCACCTATGCAAATTGGTGAGGCTTTTTATCCAACATTTCCCAGGAAAGGGGGGGTGCAAGTGTTGGGAGGATTGTTCATTGTTCTTCAGATCCAAGGGTCTGGGTCTGTAGTCACCTAGGCAAATTGGTGAGGCTTTTACCAAACCTTGTCCAGGAAGTGGGGTGCAAGGTTTTGGGAAGTATTTTGGGGGGAAAGACGCGTCCAAACAGCTCTTCCCCAGTAACCAGTATTAGTTTGGTGGTGGTAGCGGCCAGTCCAAGGATAACGGGTGTAATATTTTGTACCTTGGGGAAGTTTTGACCTAAGCTGGTAAAGATAAGCTTAGGAGGTTTTTCATGCAGGTCCCCACATCTTTCCCCTAGAGTTCAGAGTGGGGGAGGAACCTTGACAGCTCCACAAGAATCTTGCACATTTCATCTTATTTGAAAACTCCGCTTGGACAGAGGGTGGAAGATCAAAAAAGGAAATGTTGGGGAAACCTGGACGTATGGTAACCCTATGCCACCCCCCATGCCACTCCTGGACCCCCCACAGAGCCACTCTGAGCCCCTGTCACCCCCACACAGCACCACTCCCAGACCCTCACGCAGCACCATTCCAAACCCTCCTGCAACACCACCACTCATAGACCCCCCCCATGGAGCCATTCCAAACCCTGTCACTCCCCCAGAGTGCCACTCTGCACCCCCTGCTATCCCCAACAGCACTGCTCCCAGTTCACCCCAAGCTACTCTGAGCCCGCATCGCTCCTCACAGAGCTACTCCCAGACTCCCATCACCTCCGCACAGTGCCACTGCCAGACTTCCCCCACAGCCCTCCCAGAGCCATTTTGAGCCCCCCTTCACCCCAACATGAAGCTGCTCCCAGGTCACCTGTATAATATCCCCTCCTACTAACCCCCTCACTCAGAGCCAGCCCCCTACATACATATAGCCACTCCCAGCTCCCCTCTGCATCCCACAACTGCCTTCTCCTACACACAGCTACTCCTAACCCTGCCCACAACTACTCCCAGTGCCCCTTTCCCCCACAGTCTCTCGTAACTTTCTCCCTCCTCCTCCCCCCCTGGACGTATATAGCCACTCTTAATCTTCACGCATGCCTGCACACAGTAACTCCCGGCCCTCTTCCCCACACATACTGTTGGAATTATTTTTTATACAGGTGTGATGTTCCTTAGGATATGATATGGACTGATGTGTCTCCTCAGTTCTCCAATCTGGTCCTGCTGTCTCAGCCTCTAGCATGGAAAATCACTCTCAGCTGAATTGTATGAGTGTTACAGCTAACCATTCATTAATTACGTTCTAGGGCAACACCAGCAAATGCCCAGGCCCAGACTGGTGCTCAGAAATGTGCATCTTGTACTACCTAGCTCTTTCCTTCTGTGCAATACAAGCTCATAGAAAGTCTGTCATTTCAATAATAGAAAGTGATATGCACAAATCTTATTATCCAAATGGAGGCTCCCAAACACTTCAATCCAAACACACACTGATTTAGTTAAAACAAGTTTATTAACTACAGAAAGAAAGATTTTAAGTGATTGCAAATAATGAGGCATAAAAGTCAGTATTGGTTACAAAGAAAATAAAGGGCAAAAATGTAAACTAATACCTAACATAGCAAGCTAATTGAAATCAAAGCAAATGCAAGAGGACTGTTGGCCCTTAACTAAAACTCAGTGGGTTTTTTTGGTTGGCTAGCTCCCAGTACCAAAAGGAAAAGGAAGGGTTGATGGGAAATGGGGACTCTGAGACTGACACTCCTCAGGGGCAATGGGGAGAGGCCAGTGCTCCAGGTCAGCTTGATTGATGTGGCAGGCAGTCTAAGGGCAGAGGCAGGAGGCCGGGGGGGGGGTCCCATCCTCCATATGAGCTGGAGCTGCCTGGGCCAGAATGGGGCCAAGCTAAGGAGAGAGCAGGAGCTCAGGCTGAGCTGGGGAGCAGAGCCATGCCAGCCAGAGCCAGAAACCATCAGAGAAGCAGCCTGAGCTGGGGAGAGTGGCAGCAAGAGTCAGAGAAGCAGCCCAGAGAGCAGATCCATGCTGGGAGGAGAGCTGCAGCAACCAGAGCCAGAGGGGCCAGAAAAGCAGCCCAGAGAACTGGAGGCAGAGCAGCAGCAGTTCTGAGGCAGAATGGAAGTGGAACTGGAGCAGTCCAGAGCTGGGTGTGGTGAACAGCTTGGGAGAGCGAGGGGGATCTGGGCACAGCGCCCTGCACAGGGAGATGCCACCAGCCAAGAGGCCTTGCAGACCAGACTTGGAGGGGATTGTAACCCTGAGCGGGGCGGCGGGGCGGAGCAGAGAAGAACACTGGGAAGAAGGGTCCTGCCAACTAGAGCCTGAAGGCGTGTGGCCACCACCAGAGCAAGTGTCCACCAGCAGCATCCCTGCAGCACAGTCAGGGCCTGGACAGGAGGCCTGGCATATGTGAGGAATGGACTGTGAACTTCTCTTATACTCCAGAGACAGCTGTTTGTGATGTCCCTATGTCACTGAGCGGGGTTAAGTGTTTTCCTTAACCTTTCCCATTTTTTCCTTATTTTTTTTAAATTGATTGCTGTTTAATAAATTGTAATGGCTTGAAATATATGTAATGATCAGTGGGTCAGGGAAGCGTCCAAAATGGAGAGAGTACCTGGGAGTGGGGACACCCTAATCCTGTCCTACGTGACCATGACAAGATTGGGGGTTGAGCCCCCCGGGAATCCTGGGCCCAGTTTTGTCAGGGTTACGAGGACTCTGCCACACAGGAGAGTGGAAGGGGAGTCCTCGAGGTCAGGCGGGCCTCTGGGTAAAAGGAGTGGGAACGAGGACTTGGATCCTTTCGCTAGCCCAGGTTTCACCGGGGTAGTGTATAAGCCAGGAAAGTTCCCCCACAAGAGCGGGACGAGTCCCATTTACACAAAGGCTTTTCTCACCACATGATTTTTGCAGCCTTTACTAGCTGAAAGCCTTCCAGCCAGGACCCCTCCCCCAGTCCAGTGTTTCTTTAGGTCATGTTACTGCAGTGAGCAGAGAGGAATGGAGGTGAGAGGTGATTTGGGGCCTCTATTCCTCATTTTTGTCTTTTCCTCCTCTTTTAGAATAATCTCTAGCTGGGGTCCAGGTGACAGCAAGTCTGTTTTGGATGGGAACCCCCAGCTGTTTATTTGCCAATATGTGAATTTCTTGCTTACACCATCTTCCCCTTATCTTTTGTTTCAGATAGCCGTCGCTCATCAATAGGGGAATGTGTTCCAATTTATGTTGGTCCTTGTTATGTTTGCATGGATCAGGACTGACGTGAATTGGAACACATTCCCCTATTGTACAGTACAGTACTTGCATCCGCCAGCGACGTTCAAGGCTTATTACCTACGGAGGACATTCTCCATTCTGATTAAGGAGCCAGCAGGTGAAGGAAAGCCCAGTTTAAAGGAGTTTTGGAAGTCCTACAACATCTTGAACGGTGTGGAAAACATTGATGCGTCGTGGGAAGAGGTCACTTTGCAAAGTATGAACGGCGTTTGGTGCCATGCATGGCCAGATGCTGCCCACAGCTTCGTGGGATTTGATGCTGTTCCTGGTCTCGAGCAAGCAATTGTCAAGTTGGCAAAGTATGTCAGCTTTAAGAAGGTGGAGGAGGAGGATGTACAGGAGTTGCTGGAGTCTCAGGCTGAGCAACTGACAAATGAACTGATTGAGCTGGACCAACAATGGGTATCTGAAGAAAGCAAGGATGATGACGATAATGACGATGATGTAGGGCAGGAAGCCAGGAGTCTGATGACAAAGAATCTCTCCCATTTCTCTGGACTGCTAGATGAGATGACGGAAATCATACAGAGCAGTGATCCTTCTTGTGAATAGCCTGACAAAGTCTCCAGGGTTTTCAATGATGCAGTGGCTTGCTACAGGGAGATCTATCGTTCAAGGATTCATGCAGGAGAGCAGCTGTTGATAAAATCCTTTTTTAAGACTTCTGCAACCAAAAAGCAACCCAAGAAAATCCAGCCTTCACCTCTTCCTAAGTTTAGCGTAATCAACACTGTTTTATACTGTATTACTCTACTGTATTTACTGTATTAAAATGTTCTATGTGTTTGGTGTTAGTAGGGTTCTACATTATTTTATTCAATGTTTTATGTGTAAAATGTGTACTGTATAACTTTTCATTGTAAAAAGGTACACTGTTTAGGCGAAAAGAAAAGAGCATTGTCAAGTTGTGAATGCATCCCCCCCTTATTCCATTATTTCTTATGGGGAAAAATTCCCCGGTATACGTCGTTTGGGTATCCATAGCCCTTTTCAAGAACGCAACCGCAGTGTATACAGGGGACCCCCTTTAATAGTCCACTTGATTATGTTGACACCTGGTTGAGGTGCTGGCTAACCTTTTGTCTCTGAGGAACTGGTTTGGGCTGCTTTTTAAAAAAAAAAACTTGAAGCATGTCTCAGCAATGTCATACAGTAAAATCTTATAACTTTACAAACAATGTTGCCACATTTTATCAGAACAATAATGGTCAGTGAATTATGAGTTTTCAAATGATACCTCAAGGCATACTTTGTACAAAATTTAGCATGGTTTTGTATAAGTGGTGAACATAAGGGTACAGTCTGTCGCAACAGGGTGTTACCACAACACTAATTTAACCATACATTCCTTTATTAAATCCAAAGACCATTATTATTAATACAATTGCTCTAAACATGCCTAAATAATTAATTTACTACATTCAAACAATAACAAAACATAAGCATTTGATCAAGATACTTACAAACACACTAAACTCAGGGATGCTTAGACCCATATTGGTCAGCTCCAACTTGGTCAGGTAGGTCTTGGAAATGAACTCTTAAGGCGTTTAACTTTTTTAATACCCTTTAACAAACAATTGATGTCATTGCCAATTATTGGACCTTAGCTAAGGGTATATGAAGCCATTTTTTATATAGCCAATTATTTACTGTACCTAGTACCCAATTAACTGTATTTATTTATTTATATTTGTGTTATTTTATCCCAAACTTTAAATAAAACAACACTGATATTTTGAAGCATCACTATCAGTTTAACACATCAGCTCTTTTTTCTCATGATCTCAGACTTTTTGGTCACATGTTTTGGGCCTGTTGCTCATGCTAATATACCACCTCCGTTTAAAACCTTAGTTCATCCACATCTAATGTGGGTCTATATTGTGTCTCTTTCTCACGTGTGTGCACACACACTCAGACTCCTAGGCTTGCCTTCACACACATCCACTCCCATTCTCCATCTACAGACACACAAAATGCCACTCCCAGTTCTCCCTCCACAGTCACTCCCAACCCTCTCCCTCCCCCAGAGCTACTTCCAGCTCCTACTCATGTACAGAGAGCCATTCCCATCCCCTTCTCTTCCTTTCCCACATATAGAGCTACTCTCACAGGAAGGATTGGCTTTTGGCCCTATGTTAGTTAACATCTTTATCAACGACATGGAAGAAAACATAAAATCATCATAGATGAAGTTTGCAAATGACACAAAAATTGGCAGAATGGAAAATAATGAAGAGGACAGGTAACTGATTCAGAGCAATCTGAATTGCTTAGTAAGCTAGGGTACAAGCAGCCAATATGCATTTTAATAGTCAGTGATTCCTTGGAGTTTGAGAATGATTGTCTATCATGAAATTATAGCCAGTGATTGCTGGTAGAGCTGCAGTGGGCTACTGAGACCAATCCGGGATCCACAGATCTTATCACGGCTGGGGCTGACATTTGCCCATAGAAGGGGCGGATCTGAAATGTTGAGTCAGGCTGGAGTCTATTCTTTCCTCCTTTCCCGTTTCTCCAATTCCTGTTGTCTTCATTGGGTCTCAAAATGCTGGGATCCTTGCCAGAAGGTCCTTCCCCATTTTAATCAGTCGAAGGCTTGGGTTTCCCATAAGTTTATGTTGGCTTTAATGGAGTCTTTGAAGCACTTTTTTTGCCTTCCTCTCTTCCATTGGCCTTAGCTCAGTTGTGAGAACATGACCTGCTTCAGGAGTAGATGGGCTGGTCACATTCTTCGAATGCCAGACTAACAGAGTTGTTGGTGGATGATCATGGTGCTGGAAGTTTGGGCTTCGTACAGAATGCTGATGTTAGTGCTTCGCTCATCCCACTTGATTCAGAAGATTTTGCGGAGGTACCATTGATGGTATCATTCAAGAGCCTTGAGGTGTCTATTGTACATGACCCAGGTTTCAGCATTCTACAGGAGAGCAGGGATAATGGCCTGGTACACCAGAAGCTTGGCTCAGTTCTTGATGTCACCATCTTCGAAGACACATTTTTCTAAAGTGTCCAAAAGGTCCACTGGCACATTGGAGGCAATGTTGAATCGCCTCGTCAATGTTGTCTGTCTGCGACAGATAGTTGACAAGGTAGGGGAAGTGCTCCATGTTCTCCAGGGTCTCTTTGTTGCTTGTGACTGTGGGAGCAGGATCCTGGTGGTACACTTTAGTTTTCTTGGTGTTGAGTGTGAGGCCTAGTTGGACGGAGGCCTCAGAGAAGACGTCAACTGTTCTCTGAAGATCTTCTGCATGGGTGCACAGAGCACAGTCATCTGCATAGTTGAATGACTGATTTAGTAGTTGGATGACTGATGAATGACTGATTTAGTAAGTCTTTGTCTTGGATTGGAGGCGATTGAGGCTGAAGAGCTTGCCACCCGTTCTGTGTTGGATATCAAGTCTGGAGGGGAACTTGTCAGCAATGAGGCAGAGGATGATGGCAAGGAAGATGGAGAACAGGGTTGGAGCGACGACACTGCCTTGCTTGACTTCTGTCTTGACTAGGAAGGGGTCTGTTTCAGATCCATTGCTGATGACCATGCGGACATGTTGTTGTGGAGGAGTCACTGTCTTCAGGATAGAGCCCCCTATTTCTGTAAGAGTGGCTTACGTTCTTTGTTCCTAGATGCAAACATTTACATTTAGCTGTGGATGATGACCTTGATGTGGTGGAGTGGCTTGAGTGTTCCCATGTTCCTGAGAGCCACTCTCAGTCCCAACCTCCCCACAGAACTATTCAGTTTCCCCCTCCACACACACAGAGCCACTCCCAGCCCCACTCCCCACTTCCCTCGCAATCACAGAGCTACTCCCGGTCCCCCTCCATATTCACACTCAACCACTCCTAGCTCCCTCACAAGTAAGCTATTGCCAACCCCCCTACAAGGACATTCCTAGCCCACCTACACACACAGCCACTCCCAGCCCCACGCCTAACATCCCCATGCAGTCACTCCTAAACTTTACCCCCACAGGCACTCTCAACCTTTTACTCACTCACTCACACCCCCCCCCCGCCACTTCAACCCATCTCATAGCCATTCCCAACATCCACAGGCTCCACACACACCATCTGTCCACACCCCCTTCTCCCCTAAGATAAACATCACCAACCATACTACACGATCCTGCTAATACATCCCAGAATGATTGCTTTTTTTGCAAGTGTTATACTGATGACTTGTATTTAGCTTGTGATCAACTATGACCCCCAGATCCCTTTCCGCAGTACTCCTACCTAGGCAGTCATTTCCCATTTTGTATGTGTGCAACTGATTGTTCCTCCCTAAGTGGAGTGCTTTGCATTTGAATTTCATCCTATTTACTTCAGACCATTTGTCCAGATCATTTTGAATTTTAATCCTATCCTCCAAAGCATCTGTAACCCCTCCTAATTTGGTATCATCCACAAACTTTATAAGTGTACTCTGCCATTATCTAAATCATTGAAGAAGATATTGAACAGAACTGAATCCAGAACTGATTCCTGCGGGTCCCCACTCAATATGCCCTTCCAGCTTGACTATGAACTGCTGATAACTACTCTTTGGGAATGGTTTTCCAACCAGTTATGCACCCACCTTGTAATAGGGCTGTCTAGATTGTATTTCCCTAGTTAGTCATGTGAGACAGTATCAAAAGCCTTACTAAACTCAAGATATACCAAATCTACTGCTTCCCCCGCCCCCCATCCACAAGGCTTGTTACCCTGTCAAAGAAAGCCATTAGGTTTGTTAGACATGATTTGTTCTTCACAAATCCATTTGCCTGTTACTTATCACCTTATTCTTTTCTAGGTGTTTGCAATCTGATTGCTTAATTATTTGTTCCATTATCTTTCTGGGTACTGAAGTTAAGCTGACTGGTCTGTAATTCCCCGGCTTGTCCTTATTCCCCTTTTTATAGATTGGCACTATATTTGCCCTTTTCCAGTCCTCTGGAATCTCTCCTATATTCCATGACTTTTTGAAGATAATCGCTAATGGCTCACATATTGCCTCAGTCAGCTCCTTGGGTATTCTAGGATGTATTTAATCAGGCACTGGTATCTTGAAGACATCTAACTTGTCTAAGTAATTTTTAACTTGTTCTTTCCCTATTTTAGCCTCTGATCTTACCTCATTTTCACTGACATTCATTAAATTAGATTCCACTTGCTACTAAACTTTTCAATGAAAACAAACAAAATCATTTAGCACGTCTGCTATTTCCATATTTTCTGTTGTTTTTTCCCCCTCATTGAGTAATGGGCCTACCCTGTCCTTGGTCTTCCTCTTGCTTCCAATGTATTTGTAGAATGTTTTCTTGTTACCCCTTATGTCTTTAGCTAGTTTAATCTCATTTTGTGTCTTGGCCTTTCTAATTTTGTACCTACAGGCATGTTGTTTTTTTATATTCATCCTTTGTAATTTGACCTAGTTTCCACTTTTTGTAGGATTCTTTTTTGAGTTTCAGATAATTGAAGATCTACTGATTATGCCAGGATGGTCCCTTGCCATACTTCTGATCTTTCCACACAGTGGGATTGTTTGTTCTTGTGTCCTTAATAATATCTCTTCGAAAAACTGCCAACTGTCTTGAACCGTTTTCCCCCTTAGACTTGCTTCACATGGGATCTTACCTACCAACTACCTGAGTTTACTAAAGTCTGCCTTCTTGAAATCCATTACCTTTATTCTTCTGTTTTTCCTTCTACCATTCCTTGGAATCATGAACTCTATCATTTCATGATCACTTTCATATTCTCAAACAGTTCCTCACTATTTGTCAAAATCACATCTAAAACAGCCTCTATGCTAGTAGCTTTCTCCACATTCTGATATAAAAAATTATCTCCAATACATTCTAAGAACTTGTTGGATAATCTGTGCCCTGCTGTGTTATTTTCCCAACAGATGTCTGGGTAGTTGAAGTCCCTCATCACCACCAAGTCCTGTGCTTTGGATGATATTGTTAGTTGTTCCACCCTCATTATCTGCAAACTTTGCCACCTCACTGTTTACCTCTTTTTCCAGATCATTTCTGAGTATGTTGAACACCACTGTTTCCAATACAGATCCTTGAGGGAACCTATTATTTACCCATCTCCACTGTGAAAATTGACAATTTATTTCTACCCTTTGTTTCCTATCTTTTAACCAGTTATTGATCCATGAGTGGACCTTCCCTCTTATCCCATGATACCTTAGTTTCCTGAAGAGCCTTTGGTCCAAGACCTCACACTTGGTAAGGCAACCCCCATCCTTTCATGTATTTATACCTGCTCCTGTATTTTCCACTCCATGCATCTGATGAAGTGTGTTCTAGCCCACGAAAGCTTATGCCCAAATAAATTTGTTAGTCTCTAAGGTACCACAAGGACTCCTTGTTGGTTTTGCTGATACAGACTAACACGGCTACCACTCTGAAACCTATATCTACTTGATTACCCTTGTCTACATTCTTGTTGACTTCTGCAAATTATTGTACTGGAACGGTGAGGCATGATTCCTCTTTAAAAAAGCCATGTTAACTCTTCCCCCACATACCATATTTGTGTCTGATAATTTTGTTCTTTAATATAGTTTCAATCAGTTTGCTTCGTACTGAAGTCAGGCTTACTGGCTTGGAACTGCCAGGATGACCGCTGGAGACTTTTCTGAAAAATTAGCTTCACATTAGCTAGTCACCTGTGCAGAGGCTGATTTAAGTGATAGGTTACAAACCACAGTTAGTCGTTCTGCAATTTCATATTTGAGTTCCTTCAGAACTCTTGGGTGAACGCCCTGTGGTCCTGGTGGCTTATTACTGTTGAATTTATCAATTTGTTCCAAAACCCCACCTCAATCTGGGACAATTCCTCATATTTGTCACCTAACAAGAATGGCTCAGGTGTGTGGAACTCCCCCCTATCCTCTGCAATGAAGACTGAATCCAATAATTAATATATCTTCTTCACAGTGGCCCCGTACCCTCACTCTTGCCGTTTTCCTCTTGCAGCACACCTGCAACTGCCTGTGAGTTAGCCAGGAGTTCCATCCACCTGTCTTGCAATCCTGACTAAGTCTCTGCTCAGTTTCTGCCTATCCCACCATCCTCATTTGCGGTACGATTTGGCCAGATGTATTTCTGAAGGAGGCACATATGCCGGTAATGAGACTCTTGTGTGTATATTGGATGGATCAGACAGACCAGAATAGTGTCTCAGGAGCCACACCGCTGTTGTGACATATTCCTCTTGGCCGGAGATTGTCCAATAATTAAACCATTCTAGCATACCAGGACGGCCATCATATTACAGTCATGAATGGATATTTTCGAGGCCAGAACAGAGATTATTGCAAACTGTGGAAAACAAAGTGGATGCTGCAGCTTTGTTTTTCTGATTGGGTTGACGTGGATGAGGAGTTTTCCAGGAGTTTCAGCTTAAATCAAGGTCTTAATTTAACAGTGTCATTATGGACGAAGCTATGAAAGAATGTTAAAAGACTGCAGCCTCTTGCAATACTTCAAATGGAATCAAATGTTCAATGCTATGGCTTTTGATATATTGTATTCATAAGAAAATTAGTAGAATGCAGCAATATACTACAAAGCAATGTAATACACTAATGTTTTTATTATTATTATTCAAAAATGACAAACTGGTTAAATTCTGCATTATTACACCAGCAGATACTCGTAGTAACCCATTGTAAAAAGCTATAAGTGAAATTCAGCCTTGGTGTAACTCTGCTGGCTTCAGTGGAAATACACCAGAGATGAATTTGGTCCAGTATGCCTAGTCGTGTAGGTACCGGCTATCATTTAAGACCAAATAAAGAGAAAATTCAAGGTGGCTGGGGATGTATAAAAGTCTTAAAATACTCCCTGCTCCACTTTAGCATGAAACAGGATTCCACTATAATTTAGAGATATGAGAGAATTGAAATTATTATTAATCAAAAAAAGCAGAGATGTACTAGAAAGGGGACGGGGGAAGAAGTAATTGCTAGGAACAACAGTTTTCACCTAAGTTTAACTTCAGCCAATATTTATTCTACCAGTCCTAAAATACCCTATGGATAATACACCTGTAGTAAATAAACATGCTTACATTTCCACACTATTGCTAGCAATTGGCAGTTTTTAATTCTAATCATCTGTGTGTGTTGCACAAAATCATGAGAAGTTTAATACTTGTAGAAGTCTGTTTTCTTGTTGATGAAGATTTACACTTCCCAGTCATGTTAAAGGATGTATTTCAGAAGTCATGTGCATATCAGATGTAGAAATTACCAATTTAGGGCTTAACTCTGCTCTTAAATATGTGGATTGCTGTTACCACAGAGCTAGTGAGATCATCTGCTATCCAATTGTGTGTAAACCACAGGAACTGATTTTTACAAGATAGATGGGTTTCTATCCAGTGTATCTCAGATTGCAATAGAGGGCGAAACCCTGGCCCCACTGAAATCAATGGCAAACTTTCTGTGATTTCACAGGGGCCAGGATTTCACCCAGATCTCTTTGTGATTTTGATTAATGTAATTCACCTCTAATTATATCTTGTTCTCATAGAAAAACTACAGTACACAAATAACATTTAGAAAATACTGGTGATTCTTCAAAGAGAGACTATCATAAACCCTAGACTATTCTGCATAGTTAGAAGTTCAACACAAGCATTTTAATTTTTCTGTAAAATTTGTTTTTAATGTAAATTAATAGCTAATGCCTTACAGAGTTGCTAATTTTGTAGCTTGTGCTATGTCCTAAATTACCACCTTATAGACACCTGACTGTAACTATACTGTCAGTCTCGTTATTTCTGTACTATTTGCTACATTTAAAAAAAAACCTGTTTAAAGCATTCAAATAAAATATTAAGTTTACACAAATACTTGCACTGTAAAAATGCTGTTAACGTTTAAAATTAAAATTTTCAATAAGACCTATATTCTTAGAAATATTTCTAAGAAAAATGTACAAAAATTACAAAAATAAGTCTTCTATTTGAGAAAAATACTAAAAGAATTTCAACCACTGTCATAAATAATATACATATATAATATGTTAGTGTAAAAACTGTTTGGATTGAAACAGATTTGTCAGTTTTGCATATCAGATACAGCAAAGTATCAACTACCATTATAGAAAATACTAACCATAACATTCAAGAATCAAATTTCTCTATTCCAGTGTTTAAAAAAAAAAAAAGCAGCCCCAGGCCAGTAGAAAGTGCACGCACATTTTCTGCAAAATCAGACATGAGTGGTGTGTAACTCTTGTGCTGGCCCACTGCATTTGGGTGAATTTCACTCAAGTATTCAGAATTGACAATAGACCTTGACAGCCTGGGGCAGAGCCTTTGTTCAAAAAATGTATTTAAAAGCTAAAAACTCTATAATCACATGTAAAAAGTTCTGTTTTCATTTTTTTAGTAGATGTCAAATAAACACCATCGTATCACAGTACTAAAAGTTAACCAAAAACTTAACACATTAGGGTCAGATCCAGAGACACAACACCCAGTGAGGCTAAAGGGCCGTACACTGGGTATCTCCAGTAGGCAGAGGAAAAAGAATCCTGCTCCTGGCGAAAGCCATAGAGCCTCTTCACAGCCATTACTTTATCCAGTGGTTTAAACTGCCTTTTGTACTGTAGAACCGTGCTGGTTCCACAGTCAGAGGGCCCTTAGTAGTAACTGAGGTGGGGTTACATTTGTCCCTTCACGTGTGTGTGTTTGGGTTTTTTTTTAAGCTGGTTAGGTAAGTCTTGCTGTTTGCTAAGGACTCAATCCTTCATCCACAGAAATCACTAGGAAAACTCCAACTGTCTTCATGTCCTAAAAAAGGGAGTAATTTTGATGTAATAGTTCTGAAAAATGCAAATTATGTTGCCTTCTGAGGTAAGTGGTTACTCTTCAGAATGTTGTCATGGAACTGGTTTCAATATCCGGGATGAAAAGGTGTCTGCTGCCAGGGAGCTGGAAACAAAGAAAAATATACTTGAGAAAGGATTAAGGCACGGGAAATATAGATTCCTCTTTCAACCCTCCAAAGCCCACCAAACACCACGCCTTTGCACTTCTATAGCATCTTCAGAAGGTTTCGAAAGCATTCAAAGACTGAAGCACTGACCTTCACCCTGTGCAGAGGACAGCAAAAGGCCTATGTGCCTTAAAGTCCTGTAATGCAAAGTCCTTCTGTATAGGCGTGAATTTCAGCCTTTATAAATATTTATGAGTTAAGCCTAACACCACTTTCTGCTGTACCAAGGGTACATAACAAGTCTGTGGAACAGCTGGGGTTAGAATACAGTTTGCCTGATTCCCAGTCCTATGCTTCAACTACTACCATAGTCCCTCTGCATGAGCATCTATACATGGAGACAATCTGTTGGAGTTTCAGAAACGGCTATGTGATTTAGGAGCACAAGTTGCACTGAAAGTCAGCGGAATGTGTGCTTCTAAGTCAAATAATTGGTTTTGAAAAATCCCACCTATACTCTTATCCATTTGTGGCAAATACCATTTTTAATTAATATAAAAACCAAATACCTCATAAATCACAAGTAAGACTACCTTTTAGTCAAGGGTATTTTTAGTAAATGTCATGGACAGGTCACGGGCAGTAAACAAAATTTCACGGCCCATGACTTTTACTATATTTCCCTGACTAAAACTTGAGAGGGAGGGGTGGCTCAGGACAATGGCCCTGGAGGTGCCATGGATGCTTGGTTGCGGGGGGAGAGTTGTGGCCTGGGGAGGCATCATGGGGGGGTAATAGCCCAGGGAGGACCGGGGGTGCTGGGGAGCTGGCCTGGGGGGCATCACAGGTGCTTGGGGGGGGAACAGCCCAGGACGGTGCTGTGGGGAGGGTTGGCAGGTCTGATGCAGGCTCCTTACCCAGCTCCTGGGAAGCAGAGACCCTAGCTCCACGAGCTGTCTCTGCTCCGACCCAAGCCTCGGTTCTGCAGCTCCCATTGGCTGGGAACCGTGGCCAATGGGAGCTTTGGGGACAGTGCCTGCAGGCGGACGCAGCACATGGAGCTAGGAGCTGAGAGAGGGGAGTTGCTGTCACCCTTATGAGAAGCCCCCCCATCTACCCCGGTAAGCACCACCCTGCACCACTCTTCAACCCAGAGCCACGGACTCATAGGTAAGGTGTTTCGTACAATACATTTCAAATGTTGCAAACAGGTGCTTGGCAGCATTTGTGCATACTGGGCCAAATTCTCACTTATGTGACCAAGGGCCAAATCCTGAGGACTAGTTATGCAATCACAAGGGGCTAAAGATCCAGTCAACCTATCTCCACACTCTTCATTGTGATGATAGAGTCTGAGGATGGTAGACCAAGTGTGGAAAGGGATGGAGGGGTAAGTACAGGCACAAGGAGGAGAAGGGGAACCAGTTCTAGAGAGGGTCAATAGTGCAGACCCTCTAATTTCATTCTACACCAGCTCTGACCCTAAGTCAGTTAGTCTAGTTAAGAGCTTGGTTACGTAGCCACTTTGGTTACACAATTAAGTAGTTCTATAACTGACTGAGACTGGTTTCAGAATGAACAGCAGCACCCTCAGGGAACCAGGGGGGTGACATTCACCCCTCTAAAGAAGGTCAGCACAAGGCCTATGCATCATTTAAGTCCTCAAAATAAGGGGTGAGAAGAATTTAAATGGTGCACAAGAGAGAATTTCACTCCATAAGGACAGAAATACTAAATAAAGAGAGTGCATTTGTTTTCTACTGTAACATTAAAATTAGGGCTGTCAAGCAATTAAAAAAATTAATCGTGATTAATCGTGCAATTAAAAAAAATGAATTGCACTGTTATAAAATAACAATACCATTTATTTAAATATTTTGGATGTTTTCTACATTTTCAAATATATTGATTTCAATTACAACACAGAATACTAAGTGCTCACTTTATATTTATTTTTGATTACAAATATTTGCACTGTAAAAAACAAAAGAAATAGTATTTTTCAATGCATTACAGTACTTGTATTAGGTGAAATCTCGTTATCATGAAAGTTGAACTTACAAATGTAGAATTATGTAAAAAAAAACCTGCATTCAAAAATAAAACCATGCAAAATTTTGGAGCCTGCAAGTCCATTCAGTTCTACTTCTTGTTCAGTCAATCGCTCAGACAAACAAGTTTGTTTACATTAGCAGGAGATAATGCTGCCTGCTTTTTGTTTACAATGTCACCTGAAAGTGAGAACAGGCATTCTCGTGGCACTGTTGTAGCCGGCATCAGATATTTACGTGCCAGATGTGCTAAAGGGACATTACGTGTCATATGTCCCTTCATGCTTCAACCACCATTCCAGGGGACATGTGTCCATGCCGATGACGGGTTCTGCTTGATAACAATCCAAAGCAGTGCAGACCGACTCATGTTTATTTTAATTATCTGAGTCAGATGCCACCTGCAGAAGGCTGATTTTCTTTTTTGGTAGTTCAGGTTCTGTAGTTTTTGCATCTGAATGTTGCTTTTTTAAGACTTCTGAAAGCGTGCTCCACACCTCGCCCCTCTCAGATTTTGGAAGGCACTTTGGTTTCTTAAATCTTGGGTCGAGTGCTGTAGATATCTTTAGAAATCTCACATCGGTACCTTCTTTGAGTTTTGTCAGATCTGCAGTAAAAATGTTTTTAAAATGAACAACATGTGCTGGTTCATCACCCGAGACTGCTATAACATGAAATAGATGGCAGAATACGGGTAAAACAGAGCAGGGGACATACAATTCTCCTCCAAATTCAGTCACAAATTTAATTAATGCATTTTTTTTAAACAAGCGTCATCAGCATGGAAGCATGTCTGCTGGAATGGTGGCCGAAGCATGAAGGGGCACACGAACGTTTAGCACCCGGCTCATGAGACAGCTCATGGTATCCGAGACCATCAGGTGTGTCCAGAGACATCTACACAGAACACATCACGGGACACCGCCAGTACCAGGTCGAGTAACCGAGAACGTCGACCAGGGAAATAACCCACTTCCTTCTCTGATGAATAGAGGGACGCACCCCACCCATGAACTTATTCTCTACACCAATACTGACTTGGACTCTTAATACATTCCATGGGTGGTGCACCTGAGCCCAATTATCCACTGACGCTTTAAAAACTCCCACACCCCACTCTGGATCTATGCTGGTTATGGGGGGAGGGACAGCTCAGTGGTTTGAGCATTGGCCTGCTAAACCCAGGGTTGTGAACCCCCTCCTTGAGGGGGCCATTTAGAGATCTGGGGCAAAAATTGGGGATTGGTCCTGCTTTGAGCAGGGGGTTGGACTAGATGACCTCCTGAGGTCCCTTCCAACCCTGATATTCTATGATTCTATGTGATATGTACCTCGTGAACCTTGTAACCGATACTTGCAATCCCCCATAACCCAACCCTGATTCCAGATGTACAGTACCTTCCCTCTTAACTTGTGTAAATTTGATTTTAAACATTAACTTTAATAAAATTTTTATATCTAGCACATAAATACCTTGCAATACCAGCTACAAAAGTGCCATGCAAATGCCTGTTCTCAGTTTATGGTGACATTGTAAATAAGAAGAGGGCAGCATTGTCTCCTGTAAATGTAAACAAACTTGTTTGTCTTAGTGATTGGCTGAACAAGAAGTACACTGAGTGGACTTGTAGGCTCTTAAATTTTATATTATTTTGTTTTTGAGAACAGTTATGTAACAAAAAAAATCTACTTTTGTAAGTTGCACTTTCACAACAAAGAGATTGCAGTACAATACTTGTATGAGGTGAACTGAAAAATACTATTTCTTTTATCATTTTTACGGTGCAAATAAATTTTTGTAATCAAAATAATATACACTTGGATTTAAATTACAACATAGAATACAATATATATATGAAAATGGAGAAAAACATCCAAAATATTTAATAAATTTTAATTGGTATTCTATTAACAGTGCGATAAAAACTGTGATTAATCAGGATTAATTTTTTGAGTTAATCGTGTGAGTTACCTGCAATTCATTGAGAGCCCTAATTAAAATGTAAATCTAATAACTCAAATGGAATGCACAACTAGATCATTAGCATTAGACACTCACAGCTAGGAAAATTATAAGGCTAGGAATGTTCAATTAGTCCCGATATCTAATGGCTGAAAAATGATTAGTGCTTTATTAATTTTTACAGTAAGACACTCATTGGAGGGGGGCATTGCGGAGTTCATGCTCCCAGCCTTTAGGTAAGGAAGTGCTTATTGCATTATTCAACAATTGTTCTACTTACTGACTGAAAGAGACTTCACAATCCCAAAAGGAAAGCGTTAGCACTATGTCATAACACAGTGAAACACTAAATGAGGATGGGTTTATGAAGACTGAAACCATGGGTAAAACTACTACAGATGCACTGCCCAGTTTGAAAGATACTGAGCCAAGTTCAGAGGTGACTCACTGATTCTAAGAGAGTCTAGTTTAGACCTCTGCATGTGGCACAGTGTATCATTTGAAAAATCATTGGATCAAGGCCCAAAACTTAATGGTATTTGTTCTATCCGAGGTTGAGGCAGCAAAGCAATGTCTAGATTTAAACACCCGAGGTCACTGCTACAAAAATATGAAAAAAATACTGAATTTAGTAGCCATGCACTTACTGCTGGTCCAAACAGCTTCTGAAGATAATCCTGTATTGGAAGGATATGGAAAAGGACCTAGTGACCAAGGCTGATTTGCAGCATATTGTGGTAAAGATGGCATCTGAGAGCTGTAAGGAAGGGGCATCTGAGAACTAAAATATCCATGCACTGGATACATTTGAGCATAGTTAGGCCTTTGTAGCTCCCCAAGAGCAGCATAACTAAATGACTGGGAGTAAAACATATTAGAGTGTGCATTACACACATTACTTGCAATGGCAGATGTGCCAGACTGAGCAAACTGTTGCACTTCATAAGTTATCTGCTGGTAAGTCTGGGTTACGGAACTGCCATTGCTATCACTTTGATGACAAGAATAAAAAGAATAGTAAGGATAGGATGTCTCAGGAGCCTGCACTAAAGAACCTTGCACTGGAGGTGTTGATGGTGGAAGTTCATTTTGAAAGAGGGCAGAATGTTCAGCAGGGCTTTTTGCTTTTTCATTGGAATGTGGTTCCAAAAGAGAGCATACTGATGGTGATTCTGTATTTTTATTTGCCATAATCACAAGAGGATCTGAAGTACTGACAGTCACACTGCTAGGAGACTCTGAGTTCTTTTCATATTTCTTTTCTTGTCTATCAGGTTTTGTGGCTAAATTATTAGTTGTACGATATTCAGCCAGTAAACTGGATCTTGATATATTTCCTCTGGCATCTGATTCTTGCACATGCTGTAGATTTAGTGCAGCAGACACAGCAGAGGGACTATCACCTAGTTTTGTTGTTGACCTAACAGATTTCTGTGTTGAACATAAATCATTCTCAAGAGACTTTTGAAGCAGTGGCTCTTTTTCTAAAGACAAATGGGCATTTTCACATTTCTTGTCACAGGGTGCAAAACCTTCATGATGTTTTCTTGCATTTTTGTAAAAATTACTCTTTCTTCTGACCATGTGCTTTAGGTCTGCTGAGCTCTGCTGGCTGGTTAAACCTTTTAAATTAACAAATGAGCTTTTTGAAGCATCTGGTGTACGTTTAACATGTGCAGAGCAATAAACAGCTTCCAAATCTTTTGAATGCAAAGGTGAGCGTGGTAATTGGTCTTGCACAGGTTTTTCTAGAGGCCTCTTGTTTCCTAGATTATCCGGTGAGATACTTGACGCTAGATCTTTTTCATTTTGGGGATTAACTCTTGTATTCTCTCTAAAAAGAGCAAAACATAATTATATACTTGTACATCCACACTTCCTTTTTATCCCACTGGTAATAAAGAATACATATATACATCACTATCAAATACTGGTAGTAAAATAATTGTTTATAAGGGAAATGCATAAACCATCTGCTTTAATCCTTTAAATATATATGGATTAACAACTCACTAGTCCATGCTATTTTATAATTACAGGATGTAATACTGTAGAATATTATTTCACACAACTTTATTGTATTTTATAGTCCAGGCATATGTTATTCAATGTTACACTATTTTTTTTCAATTGGACATTATTCTAGAATTCCTCAATAATGTATAGTCTGTGCAGTCCAGTGTGGAAGTATTCCACCTCAGCAAAACTGAACAAAACCATGGTCCAAATCAAACATCTTATGCCTGAGGAAATCATGAAGGAACTCTGCTCCTTGCTTTTCTCTGTCCCCTAACAACTGTGTGCTGAAGAAAATGGGGAAGATTCCACCCCTTCTCTTCCTGAAATGTATTAGGGCTCAGAAAGTTATGGGACTGGCTTAAAAATCATCATTTACAAAAATAATAAATTTCAGGTTCTTTTTATTTGCCTTCTGCTTTTCAAGCCTTTAGGGGGTCATATTTAGGGCTTTCTCCGGAATCATGAGGGCTAGAAACTTACTTTAAAAAAATGAAAGCTGAGATTCTCATGTAATCAAATGATTCTATGAGACTCGTAATAACAAGAGCGAGCAATGCTGATCAACTACTACCACACTGTGGTATCCAAGATACATTACTTCCATAAATTTGAATAGGAAACAACTATGTTATAATTATATGTCAAAAATTCTCTATCTGCAGATATTTAGGTGTTAGATTTCTGTTTTCTGAATCTTTGATAATATTTAAATTTTAACTTTAAATTATACTACCTCCTGAAGGTTCGAACCCACACGTGAGAAACTATGCTCTTGGTAAATGTATGTGTCCGTAAAGAATTATTGTTAGCTAAGGAATATAAGAGTAGTAATATCAAAAACTTACACGCTAACATTGTGGTTAAATTATGCTGCCATCAAGAAGGTAAAATGAAAATGAAAAGTTTGGATAGAATTTATTTTTCATGACCACAGAGCAAGAGGAGAGAGAGAGCTTTGTAAGGTGTCAATCTGATTCTGCGGAATGAACTCACACAGGAACTACAGACCATTACAAACCTCTCCATCTTCAACTCCAAGTGCCAGGCACTCATCTCTCACCAGGCCCACTTAGCACAAACACAGAGTAGCGTGACCATTTTCAAAAAAATCCCTAAAACTAGAACAAAACACTAAACTGCACTGCACACACAATTCTCCCCCTATGGGAGAGGTTGAGAGAAAGAATGAACCACATGTGCAGTCTGGGAGCATAATGTAGCAAAATCTCATTCAGTGGCAAGTCAATGATAGAAAGGTAAGGGAGGTGTCATTTAATTGGAAAAATCTATAGAATCATAATTTCAATTGTGTTACCCTCTGCAGCATGGCCGGGGGGACTCACTGCCCCCCACTCTCCCAGCTCCATGTCCTCTGATTGGTGGAAAATTTGATTATATAATGGCATCATGCCGAGTTGAATATTATTCGAAAGACCTTTCTCCCACAACTACAATGGTACCAAAATGTGACAAACCTAAAAAAACTATGCAGATGTATAATCAAGAAAATATGTAAAAATCAATTATTTTTAATTATACTTAACACAGGAATGCATTGCTTGCATAAAAAGAAGACAGATCTTTGGTAATTCTAGAGAATTTAGACTTGACATGTAGGACTGAAAACATGTATTCATCAAAGTCATCATTACTGTTGTCTCTGCCTAGGGCACCACTGCTACACACAGTTGCACGGACAGTGTCTGTCCATACAAGTGTCTGTCCATATGTCACATCTCCATACAAGGCAGGCTGCTGGCCAAACATTTGTAGAGTAGTGAGCATCTGGTCTCTGCACACGAGAAACTGATTAGCTGAAGGACTGATTCTGGAACGCAAATCTCAAGTGTTAACAGTTTCTTATTTGTCAAGAGCTTGTTGTGCTTCAGTCATATCCTCTATGATTTCTAAGCAGGACAGCCTCTGCTGGCATAAGATACCAGTCACATTGTCAATAGGTGCTGGCTTGGGGAAGACCATGCAAGATGTGCATTAATTTGCTTTTCATCTGGCACATAGCCATAGTTTCATTGCACTTAAACCTTGATCATGATACCACAGAAAACTCACATTTTCCCATAAGCTGTACGAGGAATTTGCCACAGGTTTGGGAATGAATTGTTAAACCAACCGCCACCTCTACAACTGTAGATTATGAATATGCCACACCGTTGTCATGTATGTGTTGGAAACCTGACTTTCACTCAAGCACTTGTACAAGAGGCTTTGTGATAAAATGGCAGCCTTGTGCTCCAATTACTTGCCATCATACTTGCTGGTGTTGAAGTCACGGTGATCACCAATGCACTACTTAAGGAAGTAGTATGGGTTACGCAGTATTATTTTTCAGGTTTGGCATCAGTAGGGTGATCAGCTAGCAAGTGTGAAAAATCAGGACACTTTTGGGGTGGGAGGTGCGTATATAAGAAAAGCCCCTAATACTGGGACATCTGGTCACTCTAGGCATCAGCTACGGATCCCAGAAACTCCCAATGCTGTAGGACAAATTACTTTTCCATACAAATGTAGCAGTTGCAAACAGAGAATCTTCATATTACCGTTGATGTCAGCCCTTTCTTCCATTTTTGATAGCACCATGGCTTTTGCAGCTTAAGGACAAGTGCTGTGATTCATTTCTGTGGATAGGACTGCTAAAAACTAGGTCCATATCCCACAGTTCATCTTCAATAAGTGCTTTAAGAGCCTTTCTGCTAAGTATGTGTTCCTCTTCAACCCCATTCAAAGCACATATGTCTCTGTACGTAGCCTCTGCACTGGCCATCACCACCACATTCCCATCCATTAGAGCCCTCATGAGGCAATTTATAAACTCCAGCTGAGTTGCAGTTTGCAGTAGTAAAATCAATATTTGTTTCTGTTGTTTTTACCTTTTAACACAACACATTATATATATATATATACTTAGTGCAGTGCTTGATGTGATACACAGTATCTATGTTTGGGTGCATTTTGGGTCCATGCATTCTTACCGCACAACATTCTTGCTAAGAGTTACTGCTTCATACAGTTTCTCATCTGCTTTGTGCTCAAATAAATTGGTTAGTCTCTAAGGTGCCACAAGTACTCCTTTTCTTTTTGTATTGAAACTGTGGTTAATGAATGTCTTCGGACTTCCAGTTTATTGCAGAAGAAGCAGGTGTTCTTCTTGAACTGTATGCCTTGGGACCTCGTATAAGGTGAGTCTCGCCCACAGATGGCACTAGATACTTTAACTTTGCTGATCTTCAATGTACTTCCTTTCCCATCTTGCCAAATTCAGTTATTGGGTGCACTTCTTATAGCAAGTAAGGTGCCACAGAGCACTGTGTTTAACCAAGTCCTCCACGGACTATTCTCCAAAGATTCAGCTACTAGTCAGTACCCTTCATCTCACCATTGATGATCATAAGAACAGCCATACTGGGTCAGACCAAAGGTCCATCTAGCCCAGTATCCTGTCTTCCGACAGTGGCCAATGCCAGGTGGTCCAGAGGGAATGAAGAGAACAGGTAATCATCAAGTGATCCATCCTGTCGCCCATTCCCAGCTTCTGGCAAACAGAGGCTAGGAATACCATCCCTGCCATCACGGCTAATAGCCGTTGACAGACCTATCGTCCATGAATTTATCTAGTTCTTTTTTTAACCCTGTTATAATCTTGGCCTTCACAACATCCTCTGGTAAGGAGTTCCACAGGTTGACTGTGCAGTGTGTGAAGAAATATTTCCTTTTGTTTGTTTTAAACCTGCTGCCTATTAATTTCATTTGGTGACCCCAGTTCTTCTGTTTTGAGGAGTAAATAACGCTTCCTTATTTACTTTCTCCACACCTGTCATGATTTTATAGCTCCCTATCGTATCCCCCCTTTTCCAAGCTGAAAAGTCCTAGTCTTATTAATCTTTCTTCACATGGAAGCTGTTCTATACCCCTAATCATTTTTGTTGCCCTTTTCTGAAACTTTTCCAATTCCAATATATATTTTTTGAGATGGTACAACCACATCTGCACACAGTATTCAAGATGTGGGTGTACCATGAATTTATATAGAGGCAATATGATATTTTCTCTTATCTATCCCTTTCTTAATGATTCGCACCATTCTGTTAGTTTTTTTGACTGCCGCTGCAAATTGAGTGGATGTTTTCAGAGAACTATCAACTATGACTCCAAGATCTCTTTCTTGAGTGGTAACAACCAATTTAGACCCCATCATTTTACATGTATAGTTGGGATTATGTTTTCCAATGTGCAATACTTTGCATTTATCAACACTGAATTTCATTTGCCATTTTGTTGCCCAGTCACTCAGTTTTGTGAGATCCCTTTGTAACTCTTCGCAGTCTGCTTTGGACTTAACTATCTTGAGTAGTTTTGTATCGTCTGCAAATTTTGCCACCTCACTGTTTACCTCTTTTTCCAGATCATTTATGAATATGTTGAATAGTACTGATCCCAGTATAGATCCCTGGGGGACATGACTATGTTCCTCTCTCCATTCTGAAAACTGACCGTTTATTCCTATCCTTTGTTTTCTATGTTTTAACCAGTTACTGATCCATGAGAGGACCTTCCCTCTTATCCCATGACAGCTTACTTTGCTTAAAGAGCCTTTGATGAGGGACCTTGTCAAAGGCTTTCTAAAAATCTAAGTACATTATATCCACTGTATGGGGGTGGGGGGGATGTGAGAAAACCTGGATTTATGCAGGAAATAGCCCGACTTGATTATGTAAAGAGTTGTCACTTTGGATGGGCTAGCACCAGCAGGAGAGTGAATTTGTGTGGGGGGGTGGAGGGTGAGAAAACCTGGATTTGTGCTGGAAATGGCCCACCTGATGATCACTTTAGATAAGCTATTACCAGCAGGACAGTGGGGTGGGAGGAGGTATTGTTTCATGATCTCTGTGTGTATATAAAGTCTGCTGCAGTTTCCACGGTATACATCTGATGAAGTGAGCTGTAGCTCACGAAAGCTCATGCTCAAATAAATTGGTTAGTCTCTAAGGTGCTACAAGTACTCCTTTTCTTTTTGCGAATACAGACTAACACGGCTGTTACTCTGAAATCTTATCCACATGCTTGTCCACCCCCTCAAGAATTCTAGTAGATTGGCGAGACATGATTTCCCTTTACAAAAATCCTCTTGACTCTTCCCCAACAAATTATGTTCATCTATGTGTCTGATAATCCTGTTCTTTACTATCATTTCAATTAGTTTGCCCAGTACTGAAGTTAGGCTTACCGGCCTGTAATTGCTGGGATCACCTCTGGAGACTTTTTAAAAAATTGGTGTCACAGCAGCTATTCTCCAGTCATCTGGTACAGAAGCTGCTTTAAATGACAGGTTACATACCACAGTTAGCAGTTCTGCAATTTCATATTTGAGTTCCTTTGGACCTCTTGGGTGAATACCATCTGGTCCTGGTGACTTATTACTGTTTAGTTTATCAATTTGTTCCCAAACCTCCTCTAATGACACTGCAGTCTAGGACAGTTCCTCAGATTTGTCACCTAAAAAGACTGGCTCAGGTTTGGGAATCTCCCTCACATCCTCAGCTGTGAAGACCGATGTAAAGAATTAATTTAGTTTCTCCATAATGGCCTTATCATCCTTGAGTGCTCCTTTAGCATCCTGATCGTCCAGTGGCCCCACTGGTTGTTCAGCAGGCTTCCTGCTTCTGATGTACTTAAATTTTTTTTTGCTATTACTTTTTGAGTCTTTGGCTAGCTGTTCTTCAAATTCTTTTTTGGCCTTCCTAATTATATTTTTGCACTTCACTTGCCAGAGTTTATGTTCCTTTCTATTTTCCTCACTAGGGTTTAACTTCCATTTTTTAAAGGATGCCTTTTTGCCTCTAACTGCTTCTTAAACTTTGTTGTTTAGCTACGATGGCCTTTTTTGGTTCTCTTACTACGTTTTTAATTTGGGGTATACATTTAAGTTGAGCCTCTATTATGGTGTCTTTAAAAAGTTTCCATGCAGCTTGTAGGGATTTCACTTTTGGCACTGTATCTTAATTTCTGTTTAACTAACTTCCTCATTTTTGTGTAGTTTCCTTTTTCTGAAATTAAATGCTACCATGGTGGGTGCTGTGGTGTTTTTCCCCCCAGGAAAGGATTTTATAATAAATTCCTTTGAGATAGTAATTAATCATGTTATGTAATGTATGTTATGTCACTATGTGCCTACCATTTGTGGATGGATTCCAGTAATTTATGGCTGGATGCTGATATCTTAATCAGTACCTAATTACTACTCTTTGGCACAATAAACGAAGGTGACAATCAATACCACTGAACCACTTCTTTTTTGCTGATTCTGGCAAATCAACTTGAAGCACTCCTTCCATTCACAGTAACCTGTAACATTAACAAAATTAATCAGGTTTGTCCTGAGCATTAACTGATAAGGTGGTACTGTCAGTTGAGAACCACAATTTAAACTTTGTGAGGGCTGCATGTTTGACGTGCCTATGTTAAAGTATAATATTAAAAAGAGTTGATTTTTAAACATTTTCTTGAATGTATATCTACTTAATCGTTCTAGGTTTGTCCTGTTTGGTACAACTGTGTTCTTGGGAGAAAGGGCTTTTGAATGATACCCAACTGAATGCATTTCCGTTGACACTGTATTAACAGAATCTCCACCAACCGGAGTACTTGGACCTGGGAGCAGGGTTAGCAGGGAGTGAGTCCCCCATGCCACGCTGCAGAGGGTGATACTATTGAAATTATGATTCTGTAAATTTTTATTAATCAAAAGACATCTCCCTTAGCGTTCTATCATTAACTTGCCCACAGAAGTACATATGCTCGCAAACTCTGACATGTTAGTCACATGGCTCAAAGCACGACTGAAAAGCACTCAGCCACTGTGGTGATGAGTGTGGTATAAGAACCTCTATAGAACTGAAGATAATGAAGGAAAAACTATTCAATGTGCTTTACGCAGTAGTCACCTAAATATGCCACAAACCGCTTCTTGTCATCCTTGGAAATGGGTTATTTGGCAAAGATGACATTGATTCTGCAGAGAAGAATACCAAATAACTTAGTTGTAGCTAACGCTTTGGAACATCTGGAATAAAGTAGTACATATGGCAATCACTTCTGTTACCAAGATTGTTGAGGCACTGTGGACTATATATGCTCACATGATTTACCTGAAGAGATTGCTTCAGACAGTGGTCTTCAGTTACTGAAGGATTTCAGATTTTCCTCAAAAGAAATTTTGCATCACAGAGTAGGTAAACTGTTTATCATTCTGAATTAAATGAGTCAGCAGAATGCTTTGTGAAGACACTTTAAATGACACTAGAGAAAAATGAGGGAAAAAGCCTGCAATGTTGTTTTGGGAACTTTCTTTTGTCATACAACCTTACACCACAGACCTTCACATAGAAACAACCTTGAAGAGCTGGGGTGAAAGAAGCTGTGAAGTCATACAATATTCTCTCTGAGACATCCTAACATTGCACAGTGATGCTGTGTCATCTATGCTGATGGAGAATGACAAGAGAAACATCACTAAGCAATGTCAGGATGTGACGTCATGATAACTTGATCAATTAATTTGACACAGTAACCTCTCTCTTTTCCATTACTGTTTTGTTGGTGGCTGAAAGGAGTCCCATCAACTCTGATACATGGCTTAATTCTTCTGCCTCCGGCCTCACATGTGCCAGGAAGTGCAAAGAGTGCCACTGTGATTGGAACACCACACATTAGGTCTGAGAATAGGTTGAGCAAGAGGTGCTTTGTGGACTCTAAAAAAGTCCCCTAGGAATTAAATGCACCTCTAATGCTACAAGTTGAGTAGCGCTGTATTAAAATATGGGGGAAAGGTGTCACTCTTTTTCCTGTCATTATTCAGCAGATCTTGAGCTTTTCTGCACAAGTGTTTTTACTATTTTAAATCCTAAATATACCTTATGTGGCAGCATGTTTCATTTTCAGCTCCATTTTTTGAGGCTGCTGCCATCAGAACACCAACCTAAGAGAAAATAAACTCATTATATGTGAAATTCTTATACTCTTAATGATTATTTTGTGCAGACTATTCCTGTTAGCTATTTTCAAAATGTAAATGCTTACCTTTGTTTGACTAACATCTTAAATTTGTATTACAATCACAGTAAAACACTGTCCTTGAGATCCAGAAATTTTGGGTGTTACTGTATAATGAGGGATTCACAAGAGCTATGGTGGAAAGGCACCTTTCTCTGAAGCAGCCAGTGCTGGTCACTGTCAGAGACAGATACTGAACTTGATGGACCACTGGTCTGATCCAATATGGCAGTTCCCATGTTTGGACCCAGATATGCTGCTGGGTAGTGCTGTCAAAGTGAACCAAAAGGATGTATTCTGCTGAGATTTTGGAAGAGTCCAGAACACAAGAGATAAGCTGGAGAACGTTGATGCTTTCATTTGTTTACATGAGGGTTGTGTCATCTTCATGCATGCTGCCCCCAGTGTGAAGTTTGCTTCCATAGTGGGTATGCAAGGGTCTAAATTATCTTTCAGCATGTTCTTTGTACTTATTTACCCACAAACAGGACATCTGCATGTGATCTGGGAATAGATGCCCAATTCTGCAGTGCATTTAGCAAGTGGTTTCATGTCTTTGAAAGGAATTTCTGGAGATACTTCATGTGGAATCCCCTGAGGGACGATACTGGTTCATGGCAAAAGCAATCATCAATGCTGAAGACACTGCACTACTGATAACTGCTGCTGGGACAACACTGATGCAATGAGGCTTTGGATCTTTATAAATCTTTTCCAGTGTGGTAAAGTTCTGACTACAGCTATGCCTTTTGCAGCCTGTGGGTGGGCAACTCCCTATGCTTGGCTCAAAAAGTTCTTGGCTTTTGGTAATAACCAGTGGGTTGGAAGCATTTCTGGCATTTGGCAAGTTCTGAGTGGGTCTGCTTCTCTGGGCTTGGTTCTGATTGGGATGTTGTCCATTAATGTGTGTGTGTGTAACTTATAGATTCACAGATTCCAAGGATAGATGTCCGATTTCCTATATATCAGAGGCCAAAATAATCCCTAGAACAGGTCTTTGGATATTTAAAAGTTGTCAGTGATAGACAATCCAACACGACCACTTGGTAAATTGTTTAATTGGTTAATTACTCTTTCTGTTCAAAATGTACAGCTAATTTCCATTCTGACTTTGTTTAGCTTCAGCTTCCAGCCATTGGATCATGTTATACCCTTCTCTGCTAGACTGAAGAGCTCATTATTAAATATTTGTACCCACAGACTGTAATCAAGTCACCCCTTAATCTTCTCTTTTTTAAGCTAAATAAATTGAGTTCCTTGAGTCTATCAATATAAAGTGTCTCCTTCCCACTGAATCTCTCCCTTTTTAAATCCAAAAAATCACTGGGCAGACACAAACCTAAAGCTTCAAAACCAGTAAGATTGAACTAGTTCTTTCAATTGTTTGACGGTGGTGTTGGTGTTTTTTAAATTTGTCAATTTTTTAAACTAGTATTTCCTAAACTGTAGTCCAATGTGTTAAATGCCCCACCTGCCAGGCTAAGAGGGACTTTAGTGGAGCTGTAGCAGGGATCTGCCTAAGTCCTTTTGGACCAAAGTTAGGTCATGATTGTTCAAGTGAAATATCATCCATAAATAACGCTTTTGCTTTTAAAAAGGAAAACATGCAGCTGAAAGGGCCTCTGAAGGAAGAAAAACACCCTCTGGTTCAGGTGTAATTAAGATTTGCAAAATATAAGACACTGTAATTTACAGTATCTCACTAATAACCATGCATCTTATTCAGACAGTTGGAGTCTTAAAGTAGAGAATATCTTCTGTATATTTTACACTTGTCACCCTATCTGAATGATTAGTGAAAACTGGTGTAGGCTAGGTAATTAAATTAACCATGTATAAAATGAAAACATGTCAGTTTGTATCATGGGGTAGTGGAGACAGAACAGTCATGATAATAAACCAAATGGATTTCTTTTCCCACATATTTATTCCAAGCCCTTTCATGCCTTGGTCTGCATACCACTGTATTTCAAGATAACTTTATATAGCTTGGAGATTAACTTTTTAGAAGGTACGTCATCGTGACGGTTCTCGGATACCCAAGACTGAGAGTCACCTTATTCACAGATTCCAAGGCCATAAGGGATCATTGTGATCATCTAGTTTGACCTCTGGTATAACATAGACCATGGAACTTCCTGAAAATAATTCCTAGAGCAGATTTTTTTTAGCAAAACACCCATTCTTGATTTAAGTATTGTCAGTGCTGGAGAATCCACCACAACCCTTGGCAAATTGTTCCAATGGTTAATTACCCTCCCTATCAAAAATGTACATCTTATTTCCAGTCTGAATTTATGTAGCTTCAACTTCCAGCCATTGGATCTTTTTTACTCCTCTCTGTCAGACTGAAGACTCTATTATTCATAGAATCATAGAATATCAGGTTTTGAAGGGACCTCAGGAGGTCATATAGTCCAATCTCCTGCTCAAAGCGGGACCAATCCCCAACTAAATCATCCCAGCCAGGGGTTTGTCAGGCCTGACCTTAAAAACCTCTAAGGAAGGAGATTCTACCACCTCCCTAGGTAACCCATTCCAGTGCTTCACCTCCCTCCTAGTGAAAAAGTTTTTCCTAGTATCCAACCTAAACCTCCCCCATTGCAACTTGAGATCTTTACTCCTCATTCTGTCAGGAGTATTATTAAGTATTTGTCCCCCACATAGATCCTTATAAACTGTAATCAAGTTGTCGCTTAACCTCTTTGTTAAACTAAACAGATTGAGCTCTTTGAGTCTATCACTATAAAGCATGTTTTCTAATCCTTTAATTGTTCTCTTATCCTTTAATCCTCTAAAACTTGCAATCTGAGCCTTGTTAAAACCACTATAAGCCATTTCAGATTGAGTTCAGAATGTAGACTGAATGGAAGGCTCTTTTACAGAAAGTGGAAGTTTCCAAACATAAATATGCATTCTAAGGATTTTGTGGTTCAGGATAAAATTATATCTAGGACTTTTTCTGAGCTTCTGATCCAGTTTACTCCCTCGTGGGGGTGGGAGTGCGGGCAGAGTCTCTTCTTAAATGGCTTTGGTCTTGGTAGGGGCTAAGGGGTTTGCTATGCTGGATTTGAGAAATGAGAGGTGACTTTGACCTGCATTCTCAGCTCCTATTTTCCCTCATGTTTCCCCAAACAGCGTCACCTATAAATTTGTAAGCTAAGGGTCTCTCTTTGCAATGACTACTATTCAAGGGTATAAACACAGCTTCCTTGTTAAGGGCCATTACTCTTTTCACAAATCACATCAATTTCCAAAAAAGATTGCCAAGAATCAATATTTTACACATTGCTGCAAGAATTTGCCAGAATCTGAATCCCAGACTTCTCACATTCACAGTAAGGATCATACCCCTAGACAAACAAGCCACTTAGTAGTTTTTCCTTATGAATTACAAAGAATCTTTTTGATTTGAATGATCAAAGCTGAGCTTTCAAATGTCTGCTTAGAGTATCTTCTCTCTTATGGTCTATGGGAACTTTTGGAAGTAAGTCCCATTCTGAAAAGACAACAATGCCTTGCACCCGGTGGAACTACTACTGCCCTGGTCTTAGGTCTTCTTCATTGACTAATTCTCATCACCTGCGAAATTTTCTTGTGTTTATGTAACAGTTTAGTTTCACCCAGAAGCCCCCATTCAGATTCAGTGATGTCCTCAAAAATGGGGAGGATGGGGATTTTTTACACTAATTGCTCATTAAAAATTCACAAATCCTTAGGGACACTGGTTTGTCTTTTGGGAACCTGGAGGCTCTGGATTTTACAAGACTTATCCCAGAGCGGGCTGTTTGGGGTTCTCCTTCCCAGAGAAATCACACTGCTCCTGCTTGAACCTTCCCACAGCACAGTTCCCCTGCAGGAAGCTGCAACCAGGCCCTGACTTGCCAGTCTAATTCAAATCCCTGTGCCCTGGCAGGGTAAGGGTCAGCTGGTTGGCCACAGCAGGGCATTGCTCACCCTATGAAGCTCCTAAAAAGCTTGCCTTATAAATACAGCAGCTCCTGGACATGGCTTGATGCTTGCAGGGTTTCTCTGCTGCTGTGGGGAAAGGTAGAAGGCAGAGGAAGATGACTAGAGAGATACAGAACCAGAGAGGTCCCACAGGCCTCGATGCTCAGTAGAAGAGACCTCCCAGCAGAAGAGAGGGAAAAGAGCTGGAAGATAAAGTGAGATCTCTACTGCACAGACAACAAATACATATAACCATTCTCGAAGATGAACCCCCAACTTGTACCACTACTGGAGGCAGAATTTCTGGGGGCCCAAATGAGGAATGGGGCTTAGAATTGCAGCTCCCAGCAACAACTGATTGCTTTCCAATTCTACAACAGGTGCACACAGCCCATTCATTAAGAATAAAGTAGCAGCTGAACAGCAAACACAAGATACAGCTACTGTCTCTCAAAGGTAGAGACCAAGTGCGAGAGGTTGAGGGCAGAGCTAGACCACAACAGACTGACCTACAGTATAACAATGGTGCTGCATACTTCCTGTTTTCAACTCCCTGTCTTTGGGGTTTATAGATAAGGTCACAACATATTTTTAAAGATTTGATTTAAAGTATGCTATTAATAGGCACCTAGAGGTTTACAGACATCAGGTGGTAAAGAAATACCATTTTTATGATTTATTGTTCACATTCGGATTTTCCACAGGTCTTATGCAAGAGAAATATGAACACTGATATAAATATTAAAAAGTACTTTAGACACACAAAACAATAGTTGGATACCATTAAAATTAAAAGGATAAATTTTTTTAAATGGTATAAGAATGACTGAAGGATTTGAAAACATGCCTTATCGTGACAGACTCAAAACCACAATCTATTTCGCCTTCCAAAGAAGAGAGAGCATTCCATAAATGGCAATCAAGGAGCTTAGCTGATCATCCCCACTTCCAGTGACACTAGGAAAGCAGGCATGTGAGATGCACTAGGAGTGGGATTTGTTTGCATTTGAGGCTGTAAATAAAGCTCAGGTGTTTATTTTGGTTTGTGCTCTAGTTTTTGAACTCTTGGCTTTGCCAAGACAGGGGATCATCATATTGGACTCTGTGCTTTGAGAGAATCCTCAGCTAGCCTAGCAGGCTGATGCTGATTCAGCATTCTACAAGTGGTAAATTCAGATTTTTTAAAATTGACTCTCCCTTATCTAGTAAAAAAAAAAATCTTATTTTGAGGGTGAAAGAAAAACAGCATTAGAGATTTCTTAGCCCAAAAACACTGTTACAAACTAATGACCTTTCCTCATTGGCAAAGACAGACCCGTCAGTTCTTTAAGATCAGTTTAAGCCTTGGGAATAATATAGATGAGAGAGTTTACTTTTTTGCTCTAAATTCAAACCTGGAATCATTCATCTCCACAAAGCACAATCTGATGCACACCTCTGCCCTTAACTCAGTATCCGTATGTAACTAGCACTACAATTCTCTTTTAAAGATAACGCATTTTGAAGTATTAAGGAATGATCTTACCTTTTGTTTTTTGCAGATGGAAGGAGAAGAGCTTTCTGTATACTCAGGAGTGTCTCCATGTGAGGACACAAAACTAGGTCTTTTTTGCTGGGGCGGAGAACTAGCTTTGATGACATACACTGCATCTTGAGTTTCACAGACACTTTTTTTAGTTTTAGTCAGATGCATTTTCATGTCTCCCTTTCTTTTCAACTGGCAGGTCTTTCTCCAATTATTTAGCATCTGATATATCAGAAGAGAGAGGACGGATTTACCTTTTTTGGCACAAGCAAACTTCATAAGCTCAATGGTTTTCATGATTTTCATAATATGAGCCATTTTTCCTAAATCTTTCCTGGCAGCCAACATCAAATTTTCAAGCAACAAAGAAAACTGGTTGTAGTTGTAGTCTAATTCAGTCACAGTATTCCCATAGTTTACAGATATGGTATAAGGTACACACTCAACATACGTGAAGATAGAAGGCTTCGAATTTTGTATTAATTCTCTTGTTTCTGAAAGTTCTGAAAGTTCTCTGGTGAGAAGATGAAGTGCATAAGAGCTGTTTATGGTTTCTGCATAGTTGCAAATAATGTCCAGTTCACTCTTAAGATCAGAGATGGCAGACTCAACAGTTTTACAAAGGTTGTCCATTGAATTATCCTTCAGAAATGAAAAGGAAGACATTTTCTTTTGGCAATGTACCAATTCAGGAAGAAGCGATAAATCAAACCACAACAAGCTTCGAAATCTTTGTTCATCTATTTTTCTTGCTATTGAATTTTTAAGGAAGTGAACTGTTTCATACATCATTAGTACTTCAATGTAAGTCTCAACAGCTTCAGGCTTTAAAATTATAGCATTAATGCCATCATTTTTCATTGTGTCTAGCACATTTTGCTCTGTGATCAAGATTTTATTGACATCCTCCTCCTGCAAAATCTGAAAATACATTTTTAAGCTTTCTAAATGTTCTGTACATCTGAGCATTAGCTGCTGTAACTTCTTGAGGTCTGCAAACTGAGCTTCATCTAATATTTCTCCAACACAGCAAATATCAGGATGTGAAAGCAAAACATTGAGGAAGTCAGAGTTTTCATCTCCATGTTTGCCTTTGTTTTCCCAATATTTTGACTTTTCTGTATCATTTTTCTTCTCAGTAATGTTGTTAGATTTTTCAGTTCTAAACTCTTCTGCCACATATTCATAAACTTCATACAGCCTGGAGAGAGCATCTTGATTTATTTGGCACAGAAGTTGTTTTTTCTTATCGGGAGAGGCTTTATTTAACAACAGATGTCTGTCTTTCCATACAAGACTTTTAGCAGCATCAAAAAATATATGCTCAAGGCCAAAGAGTGAAGCTTTCATATTCATTGATTCACAGGCCTTTATAAAGCTTATCTTTGTGGAGATAATTTCCATTATAACCCACAGATGGTCCTCTTTTTCTGCATAGGAGTGAGCATCTGGAAGGTTCCTATATGTATTTATCAGTTCCACAGCACTTTTCCTTACAGTTTCCAAATCTTCTAAAGTATCTCCAAAGTTAACTCCACAAGTAAAAGGCACAGAGAGGAAAAAATCTAAGCAATCAGAATTCTGTTGTACCACAGCTTCACACTCATCAATCTCTCGTCTGAATTTCAAGAATGCATAGTAAGATTTGTTTTCCCACCTTGTTTTTTCAAAGAGCTCTAATAACTGTCTATGGTAGCTCTGAAGCTCACGAAAAACATTGTACTTCAGCCTTCTTTGGAAAGCTGGAAAGAAACTGGATTGTTGTTGATACCCTGATGGCCTACCAAGCAGTTCCCCGTACAGTGAACCATCATACCAAAGCAAACTTCGGAAAGTTGGCTCCCTTTCTAGAAAGCACTTTTTGTTTTCAATGAACTGAATTGTTTCCATTATCATTTGGAGTTCCACCAGCGAATCTACAGCATGTGATTTTAACTTCGATTTACAGTTAGTCCATAGCTTTCTTTCAACCAGTAACTCTCGAGAAACCAAGATGTGCTTAAATGAGCTCCCTTGCTTTTCCTCAAAAGCTTTAACAAATGAAGGAAGAAGGTTATCACAAACTGTAATCTGTTCCTGTAACATTTTCAGAGATGATGTTTCATCTGCTTTTTGTAAAATATTTGATATTTCAGTTATGAAAGCAAGAGATTTCAGTTCTGTCCCAACTCCTCTATGCTTGTTTTTACTATTGAGGCCCTTACATTTGTTAGGACCATCACCTGAGAGATTATCTGCATTCAGTTTAGCCATATGGTCTGTAAGATGCTGATGTGTTTTGCTTGGTGAGGCATCATAAACCCCGGTAATGTTTGGAATACCTTGTTTTGCCATAATTCCTGATGTCAACTCTGAGTTAATTTGGCGATCTTTGTTAGTGCTTTCTTTCCAATCTTCATTTCTTTTGGCAAATTTCTTATCAATTGGCTTCCTTAAGACAGGTGCAGTGAAAGCACTGCTGCTGTTTGAAGAACTCTGAATGCATCTGGATTCCTTATTACACCTAGAGTGACCTTCTCTGTGTGTTATGCTCTTTTGTTCCAAAACGACCTTAGCAGAGGATCTCCCAGGTACATCTTTTAGCAAATACAGATTTACAGGTGATTTCACTTTGCTTTCCACTAACCCCGTTTCCTTTATTTTTGGAAATGTATTCTGTCCAACTTCCTGTGAAATGTATTGATTTGAAAACGGGGTCAGAGCATTGTATACTAATGACTCAGAAGATACATTCTTTAAATAGTTCTCTGTCTCTATATTATTTTCTCTCTTATATACATTTTTTGCCAGTGGTTCCAATTTGATAGTCTCGGTAACATGTGCCTCCTTTTCAGCTACTTTACTGCAATTATTCAGACAACGCATGTCTGAATTTGAAGTTTCTTTTCTGTCATAGCCTCTATCTTGCAGCTGTCCGCTGAGAGGTACTGTTGGTGTTTCAAAAGAATGGGTTTCTAAAATTCTCTCAGATGAAATGTTTGCGCTTATTTTCAAAGATGCAGCTTTAGCACTAATAATTTCGTGATCTAATGGAACTTGAGATACACTGGTCTCATGTTTTCCTCCTGCTGCAGGCATCTGCCTCATTGAGCCTGAAGAAAAGTTTCCAATACCAACACTCTGATTTGTGGAAATACCCCCACTGCCAGCAGAAAACATAGTCTCTTTTTCAGTAGAAAGAATACTGTCCAGGTTTTTGTGAGTGGCGGAGAGTGTGGAAACATCTTGCTTGTTGGTGTTTGCATTTAAACAGCTCTCTGCAGCTGTTTTTAATAGTGATGTATGTATGACAGCATTCATCTTTACATTAGTCTTACAAGCTCCATCTTTTCTTTTGTCTGTACAAAATTCTACAGAATCATCCTTTTCGACAGGCAAGCTCAAAGGTCTTGAGATATTTTTGTTGTTAAATGTATTTGCTTCAGAGATATGGTCTTGTCCTGTTACACAGCCACATTTTCCAGCAGTCCCTTGAATATGAATTTTAGATGAAACATTTACAAAAACCTTGTGCTCCTTATTAGTTAGTTCCATATCTTCTAGCCCAATGGTGTCTAAACCTAGAGAGTTTTCAGAGTCTGTTTGAAGTTTCGTTATTCTTCTCGTATCTCTCACATTGTCACCCTCAAAAGCCAAATATGCCTTGCATGTAGCAGCCGAAAACTGACTACAAGTTACTGAAGAAGCCACAGGTAAGTCAGATTTACAATGATGCATCTGACTTATAATATCTTTCAACACAACCGGTGCACAACCTGTAGTGGACCTTGCGTGCATGTCTTCCTCTGAAACCATTTCTCTCATTTTATCCCCTTTATTTTTAAACCTTTGTTTTATTGGCATACATGTAACTGTGTCACTTGCTTTCTTAAACGCTACAGTTCGTTTATTTTCCTTCATGTTATACTTTCTTTTCTGAGAAAAGTGAGCAGAAGAATACTTCCCAGTTGTCAAGAAACTATGACCTTCAAGATCACAGCTTTCCCATAAGTCGTTACATATTATTTCATAACATTTTGGTAAGGGACCCTTTTGTCTTTTCTCTCCAACTTTAGTTACAATTTTTAGAGATTTGAGAACTCTCCTCTGAGCTTTCCTTAAGTGAAACATAGCACCATCTATTTTTTTGGATAGACGCTTACTTTTGCATAAGGATGCTTCACTACAAAGAGTATTTAGAACATTTTTAATGTGTTTTTCAGACTGTGCAAGTGTTTTCATTCGTCCCTCAAACAATAAAGAAAACATTTCAGATGAATAGTGTTCTCTCTTTTTACCACAAAGTTTTGAATTTCTGTATATAGGTGAATGTGTTGAAGCTTTCTGAGGCCTCATTTTATTTGTTAGAGATTTATTATGTGGATGCTTTCTCTTAACTTTTGATTGCACACCTTTTTTACTCTTACATTCATTACTATTATCTTTTGGTTTTGTACCGTAAAAGCTACTTACTTTATTCAATACATCAGAAACAGTAACAGGTGCAGTGAAAGTTTTGCTTTCTTTTTCAGGCATATGACTGTCTGCCTCATGAACACAGATAGGTAGGCATGTTTGCATTTTATTTGTAAGATCCAAATTCTGTATATATTCTTCACTTCTTTGCTCTCCTGACAATTCCATATTGACTTCTAATGCTGGAGATTCAATTGCACATCTCCACATCTCTCTTGCAATTCCAATGTTGGGGGGGCTGAATCCTGATTTAAGTATGTTGGTTACTGTAATTTGTAAGTCAGGCCACACAGTTGTACTTAAAGATTCTGTTTTATCTTCCTTTGTGCAAGATTTTTTCCCTGACGAACAATGATCTTCACTTTTCTCTAATATCTTCTGGCTAGCGTTTCCAGATAAACTTTCCCAGTCTATACGATCTGTCAAGTACTGATACAGTGAATCAACCTCCTCATCAGATCCACCTTCATGACTATGTGGATTTTGTGGTACTGAGAGAGATTCCTCATGCTGCTCCAGAGAAATTTCAATCTCACTTTCAAATTCCAAGTCCTGGAGAAAAATATCCTCACATTTCTCCTCCATCGTCTGTTTAAATATTTCCTGCACACTATTTTCATGGCAAGATGAGTTTTTCTCAGAAACATGTGTTTCCTGAGGTTTGGAACATCCCCTTTCTTCGTGTTCCACATTTCCAGAAGGCATGGATATGGTGGTGATTAGCATAACAGTATTCTGCTCCTCCCATTGATGAGCCTCTGACAGTGCTATAGATCTGCAAAACTCTGCTGTGGCAGACAGCTCTTCTGATTCTCTTTTGTTATCTGGAATCATTCCCTTTTCCTTTACAGAAGTGGTAATATTTTCTGTTTCCATCAAATATGCTCCTGTTAATGCACATCCTTCTTCAAAAATTAAGTTTAAATCAGAAGCTGATCTTTTTAAATCCAGAATATGAGGAGTGTCACAAACTTCCAGCCAGACTCCTGGGACGTTGCTAAATTCTTTTTCAAGTTGGCATGTGTGCATTTGATTGAAATCATGAACATTTATATCGGTCCCCATTTCCTGATTACAGATCCAACTCTGCTCTTCATCTAAAAATGCAGCTCCAGAAGCATCACTCTCTTTGCTATCCCTGCAGAAATATTTGTCTAATGACACTGGCTCATTTTCTCCAAGGAAACATAAGCATTCTTTATTGAAGCAACCTCTCAATACTTTGTCTGTTCTGCAGATAGCATGAGACAAATATATCTGGTCATTCACTGTTTCTTTGATGGAAGAATTGTCTTTTACTTCTTTTATAGCATCTTCTCTTTTACCTACACAATTTTTGTTTGTAGTTTCAGTTGCTGAATATATTAATTTATGGGCCTTTATAGGGCCTTCATCAACATTGGCTTTTTCAGAAAGCAAAGTGTCTTGAAGCTTACTTTGGTGAAAGTTTTCTTCACCAACCATTTGATCACTAGGAACAGATTCACAAGCAACGTGATGACAGACACACTTGTCCTCTTCCACTTTGGCATATTGTTTTCTCATAGCATGTTTAAAAAGATGCATTTTTCCATGGACACCACTGTCTAAAGTATAATCCTGTGTATCAAAACCCTCACTATTAACTTTATATTCACTGTTTGAGGTCAAAGTATTTTCAGCATATGTTAAGTAAGAATCTGTTGAACTGTTTCCTATTGCAGAAGTATAATTATTTTCTTGTAACTGGTTATGCGTTTTCCCAGTATATTCTGTCTTGCCTTCATGAGATTTAATATTTTCAGGATGTTGGATGCCTATGTTCATGCCTTTATCATCATGCAAAGACTGTTCAGGAGTATGTATTTGATTATCCTCAAGTACTATTAAATTAATAGATTGTGATTCCTTACATTTCTGCCCTCCTTTCACTGAGGCATATTTATCCCATTTAGAATGGTTCAGTTGTGCTGAACCCTGCCCTTTATCATGTTTCTTAAGTGGGTAAAGACCATTACACACTCGATGGGAAATCTTAGATTTTTTATCTGCATTATTTTTGTTCTGTGCTACTGACATTTTGCCCTGCCTCCACGCATGAGACAGAGATGAGTGTGACCTTTGTTTTTCTCTTTTTTTGAGGTCCTCTGGAGGTGCTTTCTTTGAATTTTTGTTTTGACAATCTACAGAGAAGAAAGAGAAAATATTCCCTACCACTGACGGTGTATGGTGATTGGAACCCTTTTGAGATCTGGAATACTGGCAGCTGCTTGAATCTGCAATGCTGTGAGGCATGGCTTCAGAGTGTGTGTTGCAGGCAAAGTTAGCAGGTAGCACTGATGCAACTGACTTTCCAACTGACACAGAGGAGCACTTTTGATCAGGAGGAGGATCATTATGCCTTAACTTTTTAGTGAAACTTAAGTTCTTTTTGCTATCGTGAACAGGTAAATGCTTTATATTGTTCTTATGAAGATTGGAACTTTTTTCTTTGTAGCAGTGGTCTGCTTTGTCTTTCATGGACAAACTCTCCTGCAAGTCTATCTCAGGTTTTGTATCCCCAAATGGAAAAGATGAACATTTCCTCAGTTGTTCTCCCACAGTAATCTGGTGCGTTTTCAAGTCTTTTCTATCACAGAGACGGTTTTCATTTGTTGTGATGTGCTTTTCTTCAATAACAGTTTTTGAAGCAGCATGTGTGTGAATACCCTGCAATGCAAATGGCTCCACTATTCCTTTACGAAGTTTTGTTACGCTACCAGCCACTTGCTTGTTTTCCACAGTGCGTTCTTTGTCTGTATTCACTGTGGATTTAAACTCTTTTATGAAAGCTGTCTCTTTCCGTGATGCTTGCTCCTCATGTCTCTGTCTAAGTTGACCTTGTTTTGGGTCATTAAGCAGAGGAGGTTCTCCAGGTGAAGGTATATTTAAAGTGGCTGATATTTTCATTTCTGAGTTGAGATATTCCAGCCCATTCTCAGATGCTGAATTCTCATGAAAAACTGCCTCAGTGTTTTGTTTTCCTGAGTTTCCTTCTCTTTTCTTTAGTCTTGGATCCATGATGAGTCTTGAAGTAATTACAGTACTTGAGCCACTACTACTGTGGGCAGCAGAAACTGTGGTAAAATTATCATCTGAAATAATGCATTTTAGATTCACCTTGTGGTCACTACTAATGCTTCCACTGGTATCTACACCAGCCACAAGTGGCAGACGTGACTCATTTTCTTGCACTTGTGATGAATCCCACCTTCCAGATATGTTATGTTCCACTTGGGTATCATTGGCTTCAGCTACCGAACCATTCCTGTTCAGTGTATTTTCACAGGAGGAAGAAACTTTTGGGCCAGAAGTATTCTCCTCTGAATTTACTTCACTGCAAGAAGAGCTCTCCTCAGGTCTGAAAGCAAGAAAATCTACAGATTTCCTGAAATGCTCATAGATTATTGTAGCCTGAGCACCTTTACCGATCCTTTTGGCTACTGTACAGTTTTTCCATGAGCCTCGTCTTCCTGTGAAAGAAAGAAGAGAAAAGTGACAATACTCCACAGTTAAGGCTGCAAGAACAATGTTGACCCATTTCTAACTTAAAAAAAGCCCAAACACTTTTAATCTGAATTTATTTCATGTTCTGCCTAAAGTATAGGAGAATTCAAAATGGTTATCAGTGAAGGGGGTGGCTTTTTAACACCTAAATAAAGACATGCCTTTTCTCATCCGGGCCCTTGTCATCTTACATCTTTATTACTGCAGCATTCTTTCCTTGGGCCTTGATAAAAGCTTCGCATTTATCCACTCAAAACACTGCTGTGCAAAGTCATTTCCCTTGTTCCTCGTTTTGATCATGTCAACACTTTTTTTGCATCCCTCCATTGGCTCCTTCTTTTCCATCACATCAAACACAAATTCCTTGTCTTCACTTCATGGCCCATCCCCACCTTACTTCCCTCTCATTTGCTAACAGTGAATCCACTAACATCTCTCCTCTGTCCATGATACTAGCCTCCATCACCCACTTGTTATATTTGAAACAAGCACCTTTGCGCTTTCTTCTGTTCTGCCAATCACACATGAGAGGAACCCCCCCATAAACATAGAATCACAGAAATGTAGGGCTCCAGACCCTCTGTACTGGGAGAGAACCAACTATACCTAACATTATTCCTGACTGGTGTTTGTCTAACCTGTTCTTTAAAACCTCCAATGATGGGGATTCAACAACCTCCCTTGGAAGCCTGCTCCAGAACTTAATTACCCGTAAAGTCAGAAGTTTCCTAACATTTAACTTAATTCTTCCTTGCTCCAGATTAAGCCCATTACTTCTTGTCCGACCTTCAGTGGATGTGGAGAACAATTGATCACAGTCCTATTTATGACCGCCCTTAACATATTTGAAGACTTACCAGGTCCCCTCCTCAGCCTTCTTTTCTCAAAACAAAACATGCCCAGTTTTTTAACCTTTCCTCATAGAGCAGGTTTTCTAAACCTTGTATCATTTTTGTTGCTCTCCTCTGGACTTCCCCAGTTTGTCCACATCTTTCTTTAAGAGTGTTACCCAGAACCAAACACACTACTCCAGCTGAGGCCTCACCAGTGCTGAGCAGAGCGGGACAATTACCTCCCATATCATACATATTTGTTAATACATCCAGAATATTAGCCTTTTTTGCAACTGCATCCCATTGTTCGCTTATATTCAATTTGTGATCCATGATAACCCCCAGATCCTTTTCAGCAGTACTACTGCCGTACCAGTTATTCACCATTTTATATTTGTACATTTGGTTTTTCCATCATAAATGCAGTACTTTGCATTTATCTTTATTGAATTTTATCTTGTTTGATTTCGGACTGATTCTCCAATTTGTTTAGGTCATTTTGAATTCTAAAGTACATTTTGTCCTCCAAAATGCTTGCCACCTCTCCCAGTTTGGTGTCATCCACAAATTTTATAAATATAATCTTCACTCCATAATCCAAGTCATTAATGAAAATATTGAGTAGTACCAGGTCCAGGACAGACCCTTGTACCACCCCACTAGATATGCCCTCCAGTTGACAGTGAACCACTGATAATTACTCTTTGAGTATAATCTTTCAACCAGTTATGGGCCCACTGTGACCCAAAGCACCCCTGTATTCACATCCTACACACTACGGTGTACATAATCTGTGTACAAAATATGCCTTGTGAGGTATCATTTGAAAAATTACTTCCTGGTCAATAATACCATGGTGAAATGTATGGAGAAAAATTATACATAAAGTTATGAAATCCCTCTGTATGACATTATTAGCACATGTTCAAAACCAGACTCCCCTGCCTAGGCAAAAGTTGTTAAACAGGCCTATCCTAAACAAAGGAATGTGTGTTTACCTCAGTTTACATGGCAGTAGTAAACAGGATCATCAAGACAGCAAGGGGATGAGATGGCAGGAAACAGAACAATTTGCATTTCAGTGAACACAAGTGAAAGAGCACAGAACTTCCTTCATCACAAGACTCCATGTTGCCTTCCTCACAGCTTGAATAGACTTTACTTTGAGGGGTAATGTTCATTTTAAAAATCCATTAAAAATTTTCAATGGACTACAAAAAGAAAGGCAAAGTGCGTGAGGTATATCTGTTATTGGACCAACTTCGGCTCATGAGAGCGACAAGCTTTCGAGCCACACAGAGCTCTCCTTCAGTTGTGGGAAAGGTACTTCAAGCATCACAGCTAAATGCAAGGTAGAACAGATTATTTAGCATAAGAAGTTAGCACATATTCTAAGGGACCATTGAAGGTGCAGTGAATACAGAGCCAGAAGAGTACCCAGAAGTCACCTACTACAGGACAGGCCCAACAAAGAAAATAACAGAACGCCACTAGCCATCACCTTCAGCCCCCAACTAAAACCTCTCCAACACATCATCAAGGATCTACAACCTATCCTGAAGGACGACCCATCACTCTCACAGATCTTGGGAGACAGGCCAGTCCTTGCTTACAGACAGCCCCCCAACCTGAAGCAAATACTCACCAGCAACCACACACCACACAACAGAACCACTAACCCAGGAACCTATCCTTGCAACAAAGCCCGATGCCAACTGTGTCCACATATCTATTCAGGGGACACCATCATAGGGCCTAATCACATCAGCCACACTATCAGAGGCTCGTTAACCTGCACATCTACCAATGTGATATATGCCATCATGTGCCAGCAATGCCCCTCTGCCATGTACATTGGTCAAACTGGACAGTCTCTATGTAAAAGAATAAATGGACACAAATCAGACATCAAGAATTATAAAATTCAAAAACCAGTCGGAGAACACTTCAATCTCTCTGGTCACTCGATTACAGACCTAAAAGTTGCAATTCTTCGACAAAAAAACTTCAAAAACAGACTCCAATGAGAGACTGCTGAATTGGAATTAATTTGCAAGCTGGATACAATTAACTTAGGCTTGAATAGAGACTGGGAGTGGATGGGTCATTACACAAAGTAAAAGTATTTCCCCATGTTTATTCCCCCCCTCCAGCCCCACTGTTCCTCAGACATTCTTGTCAACTGCTGGAAATGGCCCACCTTTATTATCACTACAAAAGTTTCCCCCCTCCCCCGCTCTCCTGCTGGTAATAGCTCACCTTAAGTGATCACTCTCGTTACAGTGTGTATGGTAACAACCATTGTTTCATGTTCTCTGTGTATATAAATCTCCCCACTCTATTTTCCACTGAATGCATCCGATGAAGTGAGCTGTAGCTCACAAAAGCTTATGCTCAGATAAATTTGTTAGTCTCTAAGGTGCCACAAGTACTCCTTTTCTTTTTCCCAATAGAGTGGAGTATCTTTCCCAATACCTTTCCCAGACCTAAAGAAGAGCTCTGTGGCTCAGAAGCTTGTCTCTCTCACCAACTGAAGTTGGTCCACTAAAAGATATTACCTTACGCACCTTGTCTCTCTAATATCCTGGGACTGGCACAGCTACAACTACGCTGAATACAAAAGAAAGGGGCAGAGATCCCGAGTTCTCTCTTTCACCTAAGATGGCAAAGCACCTTTGGGCCTCAGCGAGAGATCCTGACCAAGGAGAGGGTCAGCCACTGTCTTGCTGGAAAATGATGGATGAGAAAGGCCATCTGAAACAAAGCCTTGAACCAAAACTTGCTAAATTAAGTTTTAGACTTTTAGATGTGTGTTTTCACTTTAATTTGCTTGTAAGCCTTTCTAAACTTTATCTCTTATACTTGAACTCATTTAAAATTTTATCTTCTTTTGTTAATAAACTTGTTCTATTATTAATCTAAACCAACAGTGCTATATGTTTGTATTGAAGTGAATATCAGCCCTAGTTGTTCTCTCTTGCCACAGGGGGCAGGACAAGAGGCAATGACTTAAAACTACAGCATAGCAGATTTAGATTAAATCTCAGGAAAAAACTCCTAACTGTAAGAACAGTAGGACAATGAAACAGACTGTCTAGGGAAGTCGTGGCAGCTCCTTCACCGGAGGTTTTCAAAAGGAGGCTGGAGCCATCTGTCTTGGATGGTTTAGAGCCAACAAATCCTGCATCTTGGCAGGGGGTTAGATTAGATGATGCTTGTGGTTCCTTCTAACCCTGTGGTTCTATGGTTCTAATTACTCCCACAGTTAAAAATGTACACCTTATTTCCAGTCTGAATTTATCTAGCTTCAACTTCCAGCACTTGGATCATGTTATAGCTTTCTCTGATAGACCGAAGAACCCATTATTAAATATTGTTCCCATGCAGCTATAAGAAAAGGAGTACTTGTGGCACCTTAGAGACTAACAAATTTATTTGAGCATAAGCTTTCGTGAGCTACAGCTCACTTCATCGGATGCATTCAGTGGAAAATAGAGTGGGGAGATTTATATACATAGAGAACATGAAACAATGGTTGTTACCATACACACTGTAACGAGAGTGATCACTTAAGGTGAGCTATTACCAGTAGAAGAGCGGGGCGGGGGGGGGGAACCTTTTGTAGTGATAATCAAAGTGGGCCATTTCCAGCAGTTGACAAGAACATCTGAGGAACAGTGGGGGCTGAAGAGGGGGAATAAACATGGGGAAATACTTTTACTTTGTGTAATGACCCATCCACTCCCAGTCTCTATTCAAGCCTAAGTTAACTATATCCAGTTTGCAAATTAATTCCAATTCAGCAGTCTCTCATTGGAGTCTGTTTTTGAAGTTTTTTTGTTGAAGAATTGCAACTTTTAGGTCTGTAATTGAGTGACCAAAGAGACTGAAGTGTTCTCCAACTGGTTTTTGAGTGTTATAATTCTTGATGTCTGATTTGTATCCATTTATTCTTTTACGTAGAGACTGTCCAGTTTGACCAATGTACATGGCAGAGGGGCATTGCTGGCACATGATGGCATATATCACATTGGTAGATGTGCAGGTTAACGAGCCTCTGATAGTGTGGCTGATGTGATTAGGCCCTATGATGGTGTCCCCTGAATAGATATGTGGACACAGTTGGCAACGGG